TTTGTTCAGGTATATACCCATGGTCTAACCTAGGTTTTCTATGTTTATTTTTAACTAGATCATGCTTTTTGTTCAATATACGTCCAGTAAATAGAGACGGAAATCGGTACTTACAAAAGCTTTAAAACTTGTATGGCTTTCCGGACTCCCTTCAATACATTCATAACAGTTGTACTTTCTAACTCCATAATAATATCAGGTTTCAAATACTATATATCCCAACCTTTCATTACCAAGTATTATCACAGTTCCGAATCATTTATTTACTTTAGTAAAGCGATAAGGTCGTATCATCACATAAATACTGTCTATATCCTAATACGAAAATATAGAATTCTAAGTTCCTTGTTCTTAACTGATAACGATGTTTGAAATTCAGTGAATTGAAACTGATATTACATGAAGTGATTGATATCATTGGGAGCAGTGGCACCCAGGTAAAATGAAGTTTCTCATGTTTCACTTGTTTTCTGGAGTTTGAGCAATGAATAGTTGTATCCCTACTACATCCCATATAGAAAATATTAAGAAACGTTAGCAGTCAATCATGAAAATTGGTAAAGACGGGTTAGCATTGTCAAATAGACGTAATGTATGAATAAAACATGAAATACGCTGGGGTTTTGGAATTTGTGGTTATGTATCACAGGCTAAAATTTATTTATGTCGGAAAATTCTTTATACTTTTCCCAAGTGATATGTATCAATATATTTGTGAATATCGCCAATTTACATCATATTCAGGTGTAGTAATTGATGGTGTACTTCGAGATTTGCCTGTATCTTCAGTTGAAGTAAAAAACTATAGCGATGAAAGCAAAGGTTTACACGAATTCCTAACCACTACTTTGCCCAAAGTATTTGCTCACATTCCACCTCATCTCCCACGTTTTATTACTCAAATATGGCAACCATGTGATATTGCCCTGGCAGCTCGTTCAGGATGTGACATATTTGATGGTAGTTTGCCATACCGACTCAGTCGCAGTGGGATTGGTTGGATTTACGAAGACTGGAATGAAAATAACCTCTCTAGCATGGTTTCGGATCCAAAATTCCTAGAGTTTCCCATTGAAGAGTCCCATAATTTGGATGCAGAGGAGTGGCACTTACCGATTCAACCTGGATGTAATTGTTTCACATGTTTACACCACACACGGATATACATATCTCATTTGCATATTGCTCAAGAAATGTTGGCTCCTATGTTACTAATGATGTGAGTTCTCTTTTTATCTTTTTTATTAAATAATCGTTTACACCAATGATTATTTACATATTTCCTGAGTGTGAATTGTCTGTTGCAGTGAACTTTGAATAATTGTTCCTGTCAATTCACTAACTTTGCATATAACGTTGGAACTTGATCTTTTCAAGAAAACCTGACGGATTAGCAATCAATTCTACTTAGTATCTAGGGTGCGGTGGTGTACAAACTCCACAGAAGTCAGTTGCGATGTGATCAATCTTGGTCGAGGGTTGAATCACAGAAGCAGGACACCAGGTATCATGTCGGCTATAACTATGCAAGAAGTTAATGTTAGTCGGAAACAGACTGTGGTCTACACATCTGCATTAGATGGTCACCGTTATTAGACCTGCAAACAACGAATTCTCGAAGACAGAGCTAAAAGTATTTGTTGTTCAATGTGTATCAAAGTTTTGACGTTGAAACAGACCAGTAAAAATGGCATACATAATTACGAAAGAGTTGTATCAAGTATCGTATTCTATCACAACACCCATAAGTCAACCACTCAAAAACGAGACCGTTTAAACAAGACAAAACCTTCGCTATAGACGAATTGTTGATTGTCAAAGGGGTAGAAGTGTACATAAACTGGAAATAAAGAAAGTTAAAACAGGAGTTTGTGTAGTGTCTGGGGTACTGGTTAGGCGTTGAGGCGAAAGTAGTTGGTTTTCTTAAGAGGTCACTCCCTGAACCCTCAACATGAAGACATAGTCCGTTGTGCAACGTCAGGATCTTTAGTGCCATGGTAACTAGTGACACTGTTCGTCCTCACAAAGCATGGAGACAGTGTATGCAGTCAGTTTTAAGTTCGGGTCTCACAAATCCGACAAGTAGGTCCACCGTCCTTGTTCCTTCGCTCCCGTGAAACACTTCTGCCGCTAGAAAACAGTAATTAGGACTTCCTTGTCAAAAGTTATAAAAATATGGCCACATGAGGGCGTTTCAAGAGAGAGCATGAGCTCACCACCGACCGTACTAAGACATTCAGGGGCATTGAAGCTGTAATCTTCGGCATACATTTAACACCAGCAAGTATCAATAGTACTACACAACTTCATTTGATCCGACCTGAAAATCGGTGTGACGTCATATTGAAATATATAGTTTCAGTTTTAATTTTGATACAATCACCAGCAGGACTCTGAATTAAAACAGACTTCAGATCACATACACTACCGACTAAACGTCTATTTTACTTAGTTGTATCTAGCAAGCTCAACAGCCGTTTGACTGGTAATTTTATTCAACTTTGGAACAGCGAACGCTAATGGCATCGTTCTTCCAATACTCTGGTACTTTTAACCCCAAATAAATAAAACGACTGACATCTAGGTGTCAATAGGACAGACTGGATTAAAGCGCACACTGTGCAGGATTGTGTTGGAGCGCACTGTCTGACCATTTCTTAGTCAATGCGCTAGCGAGTAATTAGGTAAACCGGAAGTCTTGTATAAAATTATATATATATGTATATAATTACGTTCCTGTTCAACTGTGTTTTGATTTGGGGACTTGTCGAGTGAAGTAGTAGCATCCAAAGAATAAGCAATTAGAGTAGTTTGATCGTAATAAAAGAGATCAGAACACTAGATTGGTTTATTTTCATACGAAACAAATTCTGCTCAATATTACTGTATACAATATTAGAATGTTGAAATCTTGTCTAATAATAATAATAATAATAGATGATAGATTATTCTCATTAAAAAGTCCATAGATAAGACACATTAACGGATTTTCTGTTGTATAGTAAAGGTGGTTGTGAACTTTTTGATCATATTCCAACTCCTATCAATATTTGAAAGGTAATAATCGTAAAGCTTAACAATTTTCTAAAACTTAATAATCCCTCCCCAACTATTTGATTATAATACCATACCATTTGAATGTTTTATACAATTTGTTTTGCAGTTTTACTTTGAAAACCAAAATCCATCAGTTTAATTTGTTTCTTTCTTTATAATTTTAGTCATAATTCCCACCAATATTATCGTTTTTTCTCTGATCTTCGTCGATCTATATCAGTGAACAAAATTGACTCATTTATTACTCATGCCTTTAATTGGCGTTTTCCTATTAACATTCTAACTGTTGATAAAACAAATGAGTTCAAAAGTACAGTAAATACAGATTATGATGATGTATAAATTCATGTTATTCTTACTATTACATATTCCCCTTACATGCCCTTAAGTTTCGTTTCAAATTATACACAGCAGTATTGATTGAATATGGTGTATTCTATACACATGCATGTAGGAACTAAATGTAGTTTATTAGTAAGTACTATGTTTTGTACTATGGCCGAGTATTCTAGGGCACTTCACCTCATCCGACCTGTTTTCAGATCGAAACAAGGCTTTTAATAAAACGTGAATATACCTCAAGGAAAAAAGTTATGTATAAGATTAAACTGGTTCTAATTTATAGACTGGTTTGTATTATTCTTTCTGGTGAGCGTTTTTTGGTTAGTTTTCTACGGGATGTGGTCGCTAACCCCATGCCCAACTTCCCTCCTTTACTCTGGCTTGGAACTGGCAGTAACTCTAGAAGAGCTACAGGCGGACAGTGCTGGTGGGTGGCCTATGCTCCTCCACGAGGAGTAACAGGCGTAAGTAAGTAAAGCCCCCAAATGCCCTGGTACGGCTGAGAGTGGTGAGAGTCCGCTCTCCCTCTCGAAATGCTCTCACATGGCCACGCTTATACATCCACTGTCAGGGAACTCTTACTAGGTGCTTTTTCGCGGCATTGCTGTTGTTTACGAAACTGAGGGGATGAAAAGTGAATAGATCCACCTAGGGGAGTTGAGGAACCCTCATTCCAAGCCAATGCTACACATGAGCTCCAGTATCCTGAAGGAACAAATGGTGTATGAACCAATCGTTGGTCACCCGCTTCCATGGGACTGCATCTCCTAACGTAGCTCCACTACTATATGGATTACACCTTTAGATCGAAGACTCAGGGTGTTGTCCCCTAAGAAAACCACCTTCTTCAGTTTGAGCACCCGGGCAGTATCACCGCCCCCTTACATATCAAATGAGATCTGTGTAGCGCATATGTATCTGGTGTCCTCTTGTACCAATATCTATGTGTTAAAATAAACAAAATAAATAAATAATCATTAGTTGTCAGCGAATACAAGACTCAATACATTAAATGGTACAATCAATTTATATTGAAAACAAGGTAACAAATTTCATACGGAATAGTACGATACGTGTGAAAATACAATTGAAAGTTGATAAACCAAGCAGCTTATAAATCATAAATCATGACACAGGGATGAATGAAATTGTGAATGGTATTTTTTATGTTAATAAAGTTAAAATAATCCGAAACCATTAAAAATTAAAGTAAACAACAATTCAAACCTAATAAAATGTTAACATTAAATTACAGTAAAAGTTATTTCTCATTATTGATCATTTCAAGTATTACTTCAAATATAATGTATGTGTGTGTGTATATATATATTAGGACATTCAATCGCGATTATGATAGAGTATTGTTCCTTGAGCTGGATAGTTTGATCGTGAAGATTTCATCATTCTTTTGAACGATAATCATCAACATAATTCGAACACTTCACTTGTACTTAAAGTTTGTGTTGTTGATGATGTTGTTTAGAAAAAATGATGAATACTTCACAACCAAATCCATCTATCTCAGAGAAACAAAAAAAACTTCATCCAAATCATCCATCTGAGTTATAAATCTTTTCCATCATCTCAAAATTGCGATTCTATTAAATTTCTTTAAATATTATTGACGATGAATTACCATGAAGTACAGAACGTAGAATTTTCTAAATTAAAAAAATTCCAACAAACATACACATAATTAAAAAATCTCAATAAACAGATAAATAATTATATAAAATGGTAGTTGGGGGTAGTCAACAGTAAACCCAAAGACCGGGTTCCGTGCTACTTGGCACTCGTCACAAAAGTGTACATGTAATCCTAGGAAAACTGATGCTCCCTGACATAGTGCATTCAATGTCGAGTCACCTAGACTAGTGGCCATATTGTAACTTAGTCGGTAGGATTCGATCTGCACTAAGAAGAATCTGACATACATAACATTGATCACCACTCATTGTTCAATCAATTGTGAATACATCTCACTCCTACAACAGGTCGGTCGCGGCCCGGATAGCTCAATAGTAACATCTTTGACTGTGAAGCTGGATGACACGGGATCGAATCCATCAGTAAGCATCAATTCCTTTAAAATTACAGGTATAGTCTGCTGACGGGTGCCAGGTAGCACGAAACCTAGGTTCAGAGTTTCCTGTTGACCACCTCCAACCAACATCTAATCTCAACATGGTGCACGCAATTTCGAGTCACCTAGACTAGTGGCCACATTGCAACTTAGTCAATAGGATTTGATCTGCACTAAGAAGGACCTGATATACATCAAATTATCATCACCTAGTGATCAATGAATTGTAAATAATTATATAATCTAAAGTGTAATTAATATACAAATAGAATTACTTACTTCACTATATATTTTCATTCGGAGTCGATTAACACGTAATTGAGCCAATTTAATTTTTTGTTGATTAACTTGGTTCTGTATAGAATTATGATATAATCTATGTTAAACGAGAAGAAAAGAGCGGAAAATAACTCATATTCTCTGATAGGGACAAAAAATAACAATCTGTCAATATAACCTACAAACTGACATCTTTTAGATAGTAACTTACTGATGACAATAATGGACTGTGGCGCAACTTCTTGGATTGGTTGAACTTAAACATTAACAGCGTTAGATACGGGCTCAGTGGTCTAAAAGTTCAGCACTGACGCGCGAGACTGATAGGTCCTGAGGTCGTGAATGCGCACCGTTGAGGAGTCCCGTACTAGAAAGAAACGGTCATCCAGTGCTTCCAGGTTTTCCATGATGATCTAGCTTCAATTAACTTACGAATTCAACTATTAAAAAGTACTATAATATCTACAAAAAACCTTTGATTATAATGAAGAAAAAGCTTGGTGTTCCTTAAAATTCTATCATTCATTAAGTTCAATGATGGTTAACTACTCATATATTATTCATATTTTGCTAGCAACTATAAGTAAGTAACTAGTTAGTGTTATTTTAAGAGCCTTAGCAATAAGTATAGAATAGATCATAACAGAATAATGATGTAATCATAATAGTAACAATTGTAAACGTCCACATTTGATTCAACTATTTACGAACTGTCTTGCTCAATGCGTAATCTTTATTTACTTATTTAAATATTGGTACAAGGAGGCACCAAATAGATATGCGCCACATAAATCATTCGATTTATTTGAGGGCTGGGATACTTCCCGTGTTCCCAGACCGGAACAGGTGGTTTTCATAGGGGGCCACACCCGGATTGATTCATAAACCATTTGTTCCTTCAGGATCCTGGATTCCATGTGCAGCATTGATTTGGAATGAGGGTTTTCCATCTCCTCTAGGTGGGTCCTCCATATCCACCAACCTAGTTAAGTCTTTGAACATTCGTTTTTCGTCGTCTCAATTTCGTAAAAAACACACCCGCTGCGAGATGGCAGTGAGTTGTAGTTCGCTGTCAGTGGCTGTACACGCGTCACCATGTGAGAGCAGTTCGAGAGGGAAAGATGACTCTCCTCACTCTCAGCTGCACCATGGCATTTGGGTGCTCAATGAGAAATAATAAACTAAGCAGTAGTTACCATGCTCATAATAATGAGTTAATTCAATGGAAATAATGAAATCTTCACGAAAGGGTTTATTTACTAATGTCAATAGAGAATGATGTAATATTACTTGATTACTTTACTTATACCTGACTTGCTATATAATTCAATAGGTCAGTAGTTTGTCTTTTCGCATTTCTTGATTCTATCAAAATTTAAAAAAAACAATGCATGAATTTGTAGGTTCAAGATGTGGCTTATAACATTGATCTGACGACTGTGATCATTTTCAAAGAAAATTTTTGATTGTAATTAGGGTTTGTGTTATATCTAGAGCTTAGATTCTTAATATACCGCGTATAACTTAAGAATTCGAACTCTAGAACCCTCTCAAGTCGCAAATGAGATGATAGAAGAAGACTGAAGAAAGTCGTTGTTGGGCAAGAATCAAAATATACAGAAAGTCATGGGTATGGATATTGGTGTTTGTTAAATTCAACCAATTTGCAAAGAGGCATGTTATGCTACCGGTCAATGATAGCATGCCACGTTGACATTCTAGAAAGCTTCATTGAGTTCTGATTAGATGGAACTCTTCGGCTCTTCTAAGGCCTCTGAAGGCTCTGTCGTATTTCTCAGAAGCTGTCCCTACATTGATAAAATATATGTATTATATGTTGCTAATAAGGTCACTGACAAATACTTACCTAGGTCGATGTTCTTCTTGTATTAACTGTTTTCGATCATATCTAACACCAAGTTGTGATTTTCGACTGGGATCTAAATGATTGTTTTCAAAAAAGTTATCAATAGAATAAAATCAAAATCTATGAAGACCAACAAACTAACCAGATTTAGTCAAAATGCAATTGCAAGGTAACATTTAAACTGATCTACTGATAAAACAAAAGTGACCATGTAAGAACAAAGAGTATATTATTCGGCGGAAAGCTGCTTTAGAACGAAGAAAGAAGTGAGATAGAGAGGGAATGACGAATAGTCGATAAGAACGATTCGGTCACATGTTCATATGAACCCATAAAAATCATGGCTATAATCTCAGTAAGTTTTCGTCTCCTCAAAGTTATTTTATTGAACAGATTTCGTTCTGTAAAACTTCCAAGTCAACAGTTTTACTGAGTATGTAGTATACTTTTCTGCTGGCTGACTATGTGCCCTCTTAACATCCGTTCATTGATACGGTTCTCACGATCTAGCTCTCACACAACGTTAATTCAGGCAATCGATCACACAGCCGAAAACATAATGTTTATCTTTTATAACAACGCAGGCATGGATAGGATAGAAGTTGATCGTTGGAAGTTTAAATTACCATGACTCAGTGGGAATTCAATGATGAAGGAGGTAAATATTCGAACCATAGTGAGACGTTGCTCCTCAGGTTTCCCAGTGATTAGATCTGTAACTGGTTGTAATCGTCGTATGGGCATCTTTTGCATAAATTCGTGTGGTTAATAGACATAACTGGTGAATTAAAACAAATCTAAAGTGTAAACATACCGTTGTACATCTAGTTTGGTAGATGTCAATTAATTCAACCAAATAAAGTGTATTTCACTAATATCAAATGGTGTATTGATTTATTGTCATTTTTTTATTTTAATGGAAATATTATCAATACTACTAAGGTATTTTTAAGCAAAGATGGATAGTGACTAGTGGTGGAATCTAGTTCGACGCGCGTTTCGACCTATTTGGAACTCGTCAGCTAGATGTACCTGCATCTCAGAGTTGATGTTCACTCTGGGACTCGAGTTCAGTACCGTTCACTTTAAACGTCATCGCATTTATCCACTATGAATCCTATCATAGATAACTGTAAAATGACTTAAGCAAAACATTTTATCACATAGAAATGTAATTCAGTCATCAAATAAATACTTGTTTCACTCTACAGACTTACTTTTCATGAAATTACGTTTAAGAACCTTGTCAGAATTAGCTGTTTTAAAATACGTATTACTGTTATTTCTATTTGTTAGTACAGATCCAACAATTGAACAATCTGAATGATCAAAGCAACAAGTTCCACTATCACCATTTGAATGAATTCCATTATCAAAGTGACTTTTATATGACTGATCCAAGTGAGATATAGATGGTCGTTTTGAAAAATTATTTGATACAACTGAATGTAAGACTTCAGTTCGTTTCATATCTCCTTCTTTTCGATAACGACGTTCTTGAATCATAAAACGTAAACGTCTTTGACGTTCTTCACTTCGTGATATCCATGATGACATTTTTTTTCGAAATATATCTTGAATATCTGTACAACCATCAGGATTATCGCTAATTTCATAAGTTATTTTCGGATTTGACAAGCTATTGGATTTACCTTCGTAAGCCAATTTGTCCACGGTATTTAGTAGTGGTGTTGTATTCTCCATATGGTGACTTTTTTTAGTACATTGCATATCTACCAGTGATTTCGATGTTACAGTTTGTTCTGAAATCAAACAAAACAACCGGTAATTTCGTAGAGATTATGTGATCTTCTACGATAAAACAAGAAAATTACAACAAATTAGATTTAAACATAAAGGTATCAATGTTAGACCATCATTGAATACTCGGAAGCATTGGATGACCGTTTCATCCCAGTATGGGACTCCTCAATAGTGCGCATCCACGATTCTGCACAACGGATCAATTCATGATTTAAATAAAAACTCAACAATCTCCACAACACTATACTGATAAAAGTATCACTTTACCTGTATTCGATGAGGAAAATTATACAACTGAAAATTACTTTTTTATTTTATCTTTAGACTATTTGGCAATTTTTGCTGATGTACTGTAAAACAGTAGATTCTGCCGAAAAATAGTTAATCAATGAGTTACAATATAAATGTCACTATCTTTTAATAAAATTTATTTAGGTTCATCTAATGTTGCTACTACCTTGACGTGGTGATCGAGCTTGCCTATCGCAATGAGCTATACTGGTCGGAACAGTCGTTCTTCAAGGACTTGCCATGCCAGGTATGTCGGTTGAAGAGTGGTAAGACTAAAAGCAGCAAACTCAAGGTCCAAGTTGTACTGCTGACTGTACAGAGGTGTGACAACAGTAAGGTGTTTACCTTAGACAACCAGCACAACAGCGATGTTGTCTTCTCACAAAGGAAGGTTGGCGTTAGAAAATGTTGACCCTAAAAATGCACACCTCACGTCACCCAACGGATTTCGGCTTACGGCGATAAGGCCCCAAAACTTACGGAGCTAACACAAAAATTACAAAAAGGTCGCGTGTAACCGGCCTCACGCGGTTGTCCCTTGGACACTGCGGTCACTCTCTCTTGTCATTAAGACCACCACCTGTAACCCAATTTCCTTTTCAGGCGTTTCTAGAAAAACTCTTCCACGATGTGGGCAACCGAGGAGTGAGAACCACCCTCATACCTGTAACAGCACTCAAGACCAGTGAGTGGCTGATTAAATGTATATATACATGAAGTTCTAGTAGATCAAATATTCCATTAGTCATATAATAAGTAAGATAATTTTCATTGTATACCAGTATTCTACAAATATTTTCCCATTTTATCTGAATAACTGAAGAAAAAAGTCTGAATAGTCGAAGCTCAAGTTCAATTATTTTCTTTTGCTCGTTGTTATGCTGGTTGTCTAAGGGAAACGCTTTACTGCTGTCATACGTCCGTACAATCAACAGTACAACTTCGCCTTAGAATTTTGGATTTGCTACTCTTATTCTTACAACTCATCAACCGACCTAACTAGTATGGTCAGTCAGTCAGTCAGCTACAACGTAGGAACAGGCACATATATGCATCGGTCCAAGTTGTCACACCTCACTCATCAGCACAACAAGATGGATACCGGATTCATAGAAGTAGCTAATTCAGTGGTGTTAATATATAAAAGAAAGAAACATATCGTAGAAAGAAAGATATAAAGCGACTTTGATCCTATAGTTTAAGGGAAGATAGAGAGTGCATACACCGACGCCATTGTAATCCATTCTGAAAAGTGTCATTCATAGTCTACAACCATTGGTTACGATAGTCACGCGGACCTTAACCAAGTAGTATGCATTTACCAACATGATTAATACTAGAAGTTAGTGACTTCAAGGACGGATGCCACGTTTTGGTTTGGCCACCCCTAACTTACTTTGAACAATCTCCAATACTAGTCAGCATTGCGCGTCGTGATAATCCGTGTTCGGGCATACGTCACACGTGACCCAACCATCTTAGTCAATGAAGATTCACCACTGCATCAACTGATTTGATGGTAGGATCTTTAGGAACAATTATGCCAGCCAATATAACCTGATTAGTTCACCACGATAGGCAAGTCAGACTATTACATCAAGGTAACACGTACGTTCAGGATATATATATCTATATAAATCAAAATCATGTGCACAATGAAACAATTGAGTTAACATAATATCAATTTTACCTTGATTTTTATCATTTATTATATCAGGAGATTCTTCCATATAACATTGACATGAACAAATATCATTCACTTCATTATGATCAGTTTGTAGATCTTTGTTATTAGTTGGCATACAATATGAGATCTTAGATGTATGTACATTGTTAGGTTTGTTTAGAATATGTAAAGGTTTACTATTCAAATGAAATTCCTTGAATGATTTTGGATCATGTTTCAAATCAAAACGATCATTTAATTTGGTATGTCTGATCACTGAATGGTTCCTTATTGGTTGGTGTCTTTCTTTCTTTATATAATTATCATTGAAAGGTTGAAACCAAGATATACCACCTGATAATGTGGTTTATAAGAAACATAAGAGGAAAGTTAGGTGAATGAAGTATTTATTGATAGTATGAATACAAATATAAAGAAGTTCAAGAGTTAAAAAGACTATATTTCAATCTTAATAATGGTTGTTGTTGGTAGTCAACAGAAAACCCTGAACCCAGGTTTCGTGCTACATGGCACTTGGTCAATAGCATTCGACCCGCGCTAAGAAGAATCTGACATACATAACATTGATCACCACCCAGTGATCAATCAATTGTGAATACATCTCACTTCTACAGGAGGTCAGTCACGGCCCAGTTAGCTCAGTAGTAACATCTCTGACTGTGAAGCTGGATGACAAGGAATCGAATCCGCCAGGAAGAACCAGGCCCCTCAAGATTATAGGTACATCTTGCTGATGGATGTCAAGTAGCACGAAATCTAGGTTCAGGGTTTCCTGGTGACCACCTTCAACCACCATCTAATCTCAACATGATGCACGCAATGTCGAGTCACCTAGACTAGTGGCCACATTGCAACTTAGTCAATAGGATTTGATCTGCAATAAGAATGATCTGACATACATGACATTAATCACCACCTAGTGATCAATCAATTGTAATCTTATTAATGTATCGAGTGTAATCGAACATATCAAATGATTAGTGAGTGAGATGATGGTAAGAAAAGTCAACATTCGATTGATTTACTCATTATGAGTTTTATTCAATATTATTTCCGTTTTGATTCAATGTAATAATTACTCAATGTAGTAGTTGTTTTGTTTTCCCGGTATGATCTTTTATTCTGTATAATATACGATGTTCTTGTATTCCATTGACTATCACTTTTACCTGGTTGGTGGATATGGAGAGTCCACCTAGGGGAGTCAGAAAACCCTCATTCCAAACCAATCGTGCTAATGGGCTGCAGAATCCTATGGAAATAAATGGCATATGAACCAATTGTTGGTCACTGGCTATCATGGGATTTTATCTGCTGATGTTGCTCCACTGCCTTACTGGACTAGACCTTTACGTCTAAGGCTGCGGATGTGACCTCCTAAGAAAACCACCTACAGAGCTTTGGGCACCCGGGTAGCATCCTAGACCTCACACAAGTCGTATCATTTATGTGAAGCATATCTATTTAGTACCTCCTTATACCATTGTTTATATGTTTAAATAAATAAATACTGATAAAGATATTCATTTCTGAAAAACATTTTACATTTCAATAATGGATATAATAATATGATTGTATATGCTATTCAATCTACATAGAGGAACCATATCAGTCTTATTCAATGAATGAATATCATATTGAATTACAGTTTCCAATTTGTTTCTCTATCTGTTTTATTAATATCAATAGTCAAAGAATGATGAATCAATTCTAATGAACATCACATATACATATATTCTTTATTTTTATATCATCATCCCTTAAAGTAAATCTTAGTTCAATAGTTTTGTAAAGTCTAGACATATAACTTTTTCATATAGTTTATCTTCTACTCATTCAATGTAGTTGTATTGTCTAAAGCATTAGGAATATTCGTTAATTACTAGTTTATTTATTTATTGGTACAAAGGGGCACCAAATAGACACACAAATCTCATTTGATTTGTGTGAGGGCTGTGATACTGCCCGGATGCCAAAACCGAAGCAGGTGGTTTTCTAAGGGGGCCACATCCAGAGCCTTCAACCTAAAGGTCTGATCCACATGGTAGTGGAGTATTGTAAAGAGATGCAGTCCTATGGAAGCCGGTGACCAACAATTGGTTCATACGCCATTTGTTTCTTCAGGATACTTGAGCCAACCCATGTGCACCATTGGTTTAGAATCAGGGTTTTTCAACTCCTTTTGGTGGACTCTCCATGTCCACCAACCCGGTTAAAGCGATGGACATCCACATTTCGTGCTGCTAATTTCGTAAACAACACTCCAGCCACGAGAAGGCAGTGAGTAGGAGTTCCTTGGTAGAGGCTATATACGCGTGGCCATGTGAGAGTATTTGGAGAGGGAGAGCGAACTCTCCCCACTCTCGGCCGTACTAGGGCATTTGGGGTTAATTTAATAATTCTCTAATTATTTTGTTTTTGTTTTTTAAAACTGTTGAATTTTTGAATACATTAAAATGATATATTATTACTTATGTTATATTATTATTCAATTTATTTAACGGTTAATATGACTTCATTTCTGAAAGCACTGGACGACCGTTTCATCCTAGTATCGAACTCCTCAGCAGTACGCATTCATGATCCTGCACGAGGGATTCGAATCCAAAATCTTCAGTATCACATGCGAATATTTAAACTTTAGATCACTCGATACGCACTGATGAATGGTCCTGTAATAGGACAAAATGATTGTTCAGTTCTTTCAGGTTTTCCAGGGTGATCTAGCTTGAATTTATGTTTACACTAGCATTCTTTATTCTTTTTTTTCTGTTTCTACCAAAGAATGATACATTTGCCTATTTAATACTATATCTCTGTTATACACATATTGATCATTTTGTGGTAACACAAATATCTGCACTGATATTAAAACGTAATAATAAATGTTTATATTATATAAATACTGATGTGAACAGAGAAACAAGAAACCTTGATAAACTACGGAACCTATTTCATTTAATTCAAAGCTTGTAAAACACTGACATTTACGTTTGTCCCTAATCTATTCTACAGATCATAAGCTTTCGTTTGATGTATGATTCACTGCTATAGACCTTTTTGTTCCAAAGCTATTGTAATTTAAACGTGTTAGTTTGTACTTCATTTTCTATGCTAATCCCCAGTTTTGAACATTGCGGTGGGTTATTCATCTATTTATTCATGTATCTGAAATCTGGATCTAGATCGGAATTGAGAATACATCAAGTAGTGTTCTAGTTGACTTATCTTCTTTCACTCGCATGCTTGTCAGCCAATCAGGTGATAGAATAGTTTTCTTCTTTCTATCCCACTTCGAACTCACGCATACTAGCATCAAGGTTAAGCCGGTCAACATATGGGGTCAAACTGTTAATCTCTAGATAAGACAAGTTATCCTCAGCACCAAAAGTGGGTAGACAGACCAAGGATGTAACAAATACATTAAACAGTAAAACAACTTACCTAATGCTGCACATATGCCATTCACTATATTTTCTGAGGATGAATATAATCGAATGTTTGTATTTAATGAACAATGATCTTTGAATGACTTTTCACCTTTAACATGATGATCACGATGGATGAACCTTGATAATGATTCGTTCAAATTCTTACATATTGATAAAGATGAAGGTTGAAAACTAGGTTGATTGAGATGTACATTCATAACCATATTACTTAATTGATTCTCTGCTTGTTTCTTAATATCAGTAAATTGTTTATCATTATCTTTACATTCAGTCTTATCTACAATTGAAATACATGACAGTTTTTGTTTGTTGACTAAACCAAAAAAATATTAGTCTATCAATTGACTTATAACCACAACTATTGAAATTAATACAATCTCCACAAAATCCTATTTCTGATACTAATCAACATATGCTCACTAGTGACTGACTTCAAGAGATACTCCTGGAGTTCTAGTGAGAAGCAGTGACTAGTCGAGTTAAATCGGGTCCGTTGTGAGATAGTAACTCATTGAAGGCAATGGTAGATGTGTCGCTCAATTTCGTGGATTAGTTGAAGTTAGATATTAACACCGTTGGATGCCGGTCATCTCAGCGGTCTAGAGGATAAGCGCTTGCGCGCGAGACTGTTAGTTCTTGGGTTCGAATCCCGTGAGGTGGAGTCGTGGATGCTCACTACTGAGGAGTCCCAAAATAGAACGAAACGGCCATCCGGTGCATCCAAATTTTACATGATGGTATAGCTCCAAATGACTCGTGATCTTAACTATTAAAATTAAAATAACAGTTAACTTTTTATGCTATTATAATAACTGAATTCACTTGGTATTGTTTTACTCGAATCTTCTCATTGATGATTAAGACTGTAATTGATCAGTCTTTTATTGGAATAGGTGCATCCTGTGCAGATTGCTTCGATATTGCCTTTATTCACAAGCATTCAAAGCAAAGATGGATAATGGCTAGTAGTAGAATCCTGTTCGACGCGCGTTCCGATCTATTTGGCACTCGTCAGTTAGATGTACCTACATCTCAGAGTTGATGTTCACTCTGGGACTCAAACTCAGTACCGTTCGATTCAAACGTCATCGTCGCTATCAGGACTCAGTAGCTAAGTGGACATGATAAACATTGTAAACAAATACTAACAGCGCTAGTTTTAAGAACTCGTACTATTACTAATAAGTAGTAACCCATAAAATTTAAAAAAAAACCAGTCTACAATTAGGATTTTATGAAAGTTTCATAGAACAGTTGGTTTTGAGGAATATCTCTAAAAAAATATACAAATTAATTCAACAAAGAATAACTATCACAGTTTTATACTTTTCAGTCCCTTATTCCTATCTATCTAACAAATGATTATTTTGTTTTAATTGAGATCATGAATCGATCAATATCAAACCCCCATTAAAAACCTGGAAATACTAGACAGAAGTTTCGTCCTAGTGTAGTGAATGAGAACACAAATGGGGACAATCGAATGTATTTGAACACAAAGTTATCTAGGGAGAGCTGATTCTCCACATTCACGGTCATACTAGGATATTTTGGGGCCATCAAAACAATAGAACCGATTATAAATGTAGTGATGTTTCTAAGATGATTTAAGAAGAAAAACCTGTTAGTGAAAAATTTGAAACTATGCTAATCTATTTCATGAAAAAATTTGTATAACTTTTTATCGTATCCTAAATTCTAATTCATGTTAGCTGGCATACTGACTATCCTGTCCAACAGAAGAGTGAGTTGGACATTAGATCACAACGGTTGGTCGTGCTGTAGTGAACGAGTGGGGACAGATGAATGTATCTGAACACACACATTACAGAACATCTCAGTGAAATCTGACAGTAAATACTTCATTTGCAAAATGTCAATCCATCGTCTCAAATTTGACTGTTCCTTTGCAAATATCAGTCCATTGTCTCGGATTTCATTGTTCATGCATTTTCATACCAAATGCGTTCCGTTCCCATCCTTTCCTTCTTGATCTTTTCAATCTTCTACTGCCAAACATTACATTCCTGACTCGCACTATATACTGCTTATGTCAATATGAGTAACCCACACCGCACTACTTACATCTGTCGACATCAATAGCACACACCGAACTAGCATGGGACTCCTAGAACGAAACGGACATCGAGTGCTTTGCGATGTTCAATCGTGGTCTGACATTGATCAGTTCATGATCTCAATTAAAATGCAACAACCTTCACAACTCCTATAATCATAATTTTTTGTTGTCAAATTTTCAAAACATTAATTTAGATTCCAAAACATCTTGATCTTTACACTGTTGTCGGTATATATTTTTGACAAGCAATTAAATATAATAGCCATTAACAAAATCATTGACATACTAAACAGATAATACGAATTCCTTAGTTGATTTTCGGTAAATTGTTTTTTTCATCAATCAATTCTACTTGTAAATATTCAATGTTTTACTAATATTCCTTTGAAATAAATTTACAGTAATGACATATGCCAGACAAATAATAGCCCCCAAATGCCGTGATATGGCTGAGATTAAGGAGAGATAGCTCTCCATCTCGAAATATTCTCACATGGCCACGCGCTTATAATTACTGATAGAGGAGTCTTACTCACTGCGTTCTCTGGACATTACTGTTGTTTACGAAATTGAGACGATGAAAAGCGAATGTTCTGCGCCTTAACCGGGTTGGTAGGTACAAAGGATCCACCTAGGGGAGTTGGAAAACCCTCATTCCAGTATCCTGATTGAACAAATGGCATATTACCAATTTTTGGTCACCGACTACCATGAGACTGCATCTCCTAACGTTGCTCCACTGCCTTGTGGATCAAACTTTTAGGTCGAAGGCTTGGAGTGTTGCCCTCTAAGAAAACCAATTGTTTTGGTTTGGGCACCGAGGCAGTACCCTAGATTTCAAACAAGTCTAATGTGTTGCGCATATCTATTTGGTACCTCCTTGTTCTGATGTTTATGTGTTTACATAAATAAATAAATAGACAAATAATAAAGGTACTTTGATATGAAAATGTCCTATTTACTTTTGTTGTCAGCCTGTTGAACATCTTTTTGATCTTCCTCAAAATGAGCATTTCTATGACATATTTCTCTATCATATGAAGATGATAATCGTTTATTCAACATTTTCTTATTGATTTGTTCATTTTCTCCATGTTCATTAGTTAATAATTTACATTTTTGTGTGGATGATTTTAGTTTTGAACTATTTCCAGTATTTAATTCATTCAATATAGGATTGATATCTTTTTCAAATAAATCCGATAATAAAGACTCAGTATCTGTATCCCAATCATCCGGTAGAGAATTTGATAAAGGCTAAAACAATAATAAAAAAATCATGGGAACACATTATAAACGGGGAGTGCAACTATGTATTCGTTGAATGATTAAGTTAATATGATTACCGAAATACAAATTCTGCTATACCGAAGAGTATAATATACTTCATAAAAACTAATATAACATTGAGCGAGAAAAACTGATATGTAAACTAAATGAGTATTATTAAGATCATGAGTCAATTGATGCTAGACTATCATGAAAAAACTTGAAAACATTGGATAGCCGTTTGCTCCTGTTGTGGGACTATTACTCCTCAGCAGTGTGCATCCACGATCCCTAGGACTTATCGAACGCTTTACCTCTAAATTACTGAGCTGGCCGGCATCCAACGGTGTTATTATCTAACTTCAACTAATCCACGAAATTGAGCGACACATGTGCCATTGCCTTCAGTGAGTTACTAACTCACAACGGACCCGATTTAACTCCACTGGTCACTGCTTCTCACTAGAACTCCAGGAAATACCTCTTGAAGCTAATCACTTGTGAGCATATGCTATTGTTGTTTTGCTAAAAGAAAATCATTTAGACTACAAAAATATAAAGTTATCATTAACACAAAATGGAAGATAAAGTTCCCTTTAAATGTTGAATTGTAAAACTATTGATTTTTCAAAACGCTTTAAACAATCTATGAGAAATATGTTACCTCATTCATGAAAAGTAATTAGAGTTACTTATCCACGAGAATAAACTGGTTAGTAATTATAAACAACAATATAGATGTTTTCATTGTACTATTTAAACGTATATCTATTTAATTTGGTTATTTATCGACTCTGAAAACGTAGCTTAAATTAAGTCACGAAACGTCAGAAAAACAATATTCTACAGGTGAAATATACTAAGAAAGAATTAATAAAGAACAATCACAAGTCATCTGTATATACCGAAAAGCATTGGACAATAAACGATCTCACGGGGCGAGATCGTGGATGCGTACTGCTGAGGAGTTCGATACTAGAATGTAACGGCCATTCAGTGCTTTCAAATTTCCAATAGTGGTCAAACATTGATCACTTCATAATTTCAATTAAAAACTCAACAAACTTCACAATCCTATACTAATAAATTCACTTTCCTTTACAATATTAAACCTATGAAGACAAGTAAATTGTCAAATTTTATACCCTGACCTATACAAGGTAGCTTAAGCTTGAATCAGACAAACCTAGTATTTAGTGGATAGTTGTAAATATCATTCTATTTAATCTTCAAAACTGACCAAACAACTTATTAATCAAATCCCCTACTGGCAAGAACGGAGAGATTATGATTTATGGACAAGCCAATAAGAAGCGTTTGAGAGATTTCAAGGTCATCGCTCCAATTATGTAATAATTCGTTACAAACTCACGAAGTCTATTGTTATTATTCGTATTACGTAACTTAGTGTTATAATCTTTTCATTAAGTCATCTTGGTTACTCGTGTTCACATTTACTGACGAAACTAGTATTTTAACAAAACAATGTTCATATATATATACGATTTTAGAGCTTGATAATATATTCATTGATTTGTGCGTGATTCATTGAATTAATCCTTTAAATGCAACCGAGATGTATACTTCAATAAAGAGAAAATTCATAAGGTTTGAGTTCTTATGAAAATATGTTGACTACATTTCAAATAGGCTATGTTGCTATGTAAAGATGAAGGTCTCTTATGAGACTGAAAGTTCGCCATTGATATTGTGGATGGTTCAGTATTACTTTGGCAAGTTTTGCTGACTGTTCATGTGCAAAACTGGTTTTCCGGTTAACCGATTTCATGCATACAGGTGTTTGTTTTTCAGGGTTTTCAAGTGCTATTGTCATTGGAACATTGTCAGACATGTCGCCATTGCTAACATTAATGACTTTGACTGTCGTGTAAACAGAATAGGTCAACTTTGGCCTGTTCGTAATGCGCATAATTGATCTACGCAATCAATGATCGAAATAATTATCCATGGGACGTGAATGTGTATATAAATGGTGCGAAAGGTCCACCAGGTTACTCGATACCTGTGTGGTTTCGCCACAAGATTGAGCTGTACTATTCAGATTGTAGTGTTAAAGCCTACATAGTGTCTGGTTCTCCCATGAAGCGAGATTGAACTGTATTATTAATATTATTATTATTATTATTATTATTATTATTATTATTATTATTATTATTATTATTATTATTATTATTATTATTATTATTATTTGAACACATTAATATTGATACAAGGGGCACCAGATACATATGCACCACATAAACCATTCGATTTATGTTAGGGCTGGGATACCTCCCGGGTACCCAAACAGAAGCAGGTCTGATCCACAAGGTAGTGTAGCAATGTCAAGAGATGCAGTCCCATGGTAGCCGGTAACCAACAATTGGTTCATAAGCTATTTGTTCCTTCAGGATCCTGGAGCCCATGTGCACCATTGGTTTGGAATGAGGGTTTTCCAACTCTCTCAGGTGGACTCTCCGTGTTCACCAACACGGTTAAAGCGCCAGATATTCACTTTTTGTGCTCTCAATTCCGTAAACAGCACCCCCGCCACGAGAAGGCAATGAGTAGGATTTCCTTAGCAGAGGCTATATGCGTGTGGCCATGTGAGAGAATTTCGGGAGGGAGAGCGGACTCTCCTCACGCTCGGCCGTACCAGAGCATTTGGGGGCGAGAGATTAAGTTGTACTGTTCGGATTATAAATTTTAAACCTGGCTGGTGTCTGACTCTCCTGTTAAACGGGATTGAGTTGTACTATTTAGGTTATCACATGAAAGTCTGGATAGTATTTAGATTCTCCTTAAAACCAATATAAAATTACCTTAACCCCCAAAAAGTCATATCATATAATATAACATTTCAAATAAACATACAGAATAACATTTATGTTATTAACATTTCACTTACTAATGTATTTGATGAATTTATTTGATTTAAAAACTTTTCAAGATGATTTACAATACGCTTTCTTAAATAATATGCATCTCGTGTATGTAATAATTTAAGTTTTTGTTTTAATAATATATATCTTAATTGTGCTATAAGTGTTGATCTTGGTGTCATATAAATAGATTGTGTAATTTCTTGTGAAGAATTCTGATGATTGGCAAGTTTTGTATTATCGGTAAATAATTGTTCAATCCATTCAGGATTTAATGTTGACTTTTTTATTTGTGAATATTTAATTTTATCTGGTTGAATTCTATAAGTGTGATAACATGTACAGTCATTTTGATCGGTGAAATCTGTGGTTTGAACTGAAAATGAATAGATTAAAAACAATGGAATAGTTTAAATTACATCAATATCAATTTTTATTTTGTTTTACTCTTCATAGTTATGTATTTTCATTATCATTCCCTTTATGTACTACAATAACTCCGCGTGGAATACTTCAGATCCGTTATCCAGACACTATCAGCAGCAACCTACTATAGGAGAGAACAAACCAGATTCCAGTGGAGGAGAAAATCAGGAAGACGTACTGGAAGTGGATAGGACACACATTGAGGAAAGCACCCAACTACGTCATAAGGCAAGCCCTCACATGGCATCCTTGAAACCAGGACCTGCTGGTTTCGCGCGCGAGCGAACACCGTTGGATGCCAGCTCAGTGGCCTAGTGGTTAAGTGCTCGCGCGCGAAACCAGTAGGTCCTGGGTTCAAGCCTCGCAGGGGGCGACGTCGTGGTTGTGCACTGCTGAGGAGTCCCATACTAGGACAGAACGGCCGTCCAGTGCTTATAGACTTTCCATAGTGGTCTAGCTTCAATTGCCTCATGATTTCAACCAGTGGAATCTTAAGTGACCTTGATGAATACTAGCCGAGGAGTAAACAGTAAGTATAGAGTAAAAATATATTATACAAAACTAGAGAAATAAACTGGATACACTTTTTATACATGGTTCCAAAACTTGTCAATGCTAGAAAGAGGTTCAGAGGTTATAAAATAGTAATGCATTCAGTAGAGAAAATCGTACACATGGCTACAGAATAGTCGGCCTCTGGAGTCATGATAAGGTCGCAAAAACTCTTTCAGCCTCAACCGCATAGCTTCAATATTTTTCGTGTACATTCCGGTTGTTGAGTACCCAAAATGCCAATTGTGGACAACGACACGATGCACATAACCAAGCCTATGTAAGAGTCTGTATACTCTCCAATCATCCGTATATATTGTAGTATCTGGCTGCAGCCAGTGTTACTGATGCCTTTATTATCCAGTTCGCAATAATTGTCATAATTTGCCTAAGTTAGGAATTATATATGGGGTTTTCATCCCGAACTGACACCAGCTATAATGCCAAAAATCTATTTAGTCAAATGAATGAAAGGCTTTCACGCCAAAATCCGAGATCTGTTATCTTATACCTGATTGATTTCTCCACAAATGATAGTCTCGCCGTTTTATTTGTTATAGCAGCTCAATTATCACGTTTTGTATAAAATCCGCTGTGAACCAATCGTACGTTAACATTAGGCACTGAAATTGGCGCCTTGACCATGAAATCCATCAAACACTTCTGATTGACTCGTCCATAAACGAATAAATAATGTTAATACATCAACCATATATCCAAATATGATAAAGCTGTAGATCTTACCTAACTTAGTATCGAACTTCTTAATATTGTCTTTCGAATAATTACATGAATGTGTAGGAACACATTTCACTTTGTATATATTAACATCATTTTGATTAGTACAGATAGGATTTGTTATAATTGAATTTAATTCAAAATCATCTTTAGATAAATAATGTTTACATGTTAAATGTTCATTTGGCTTATTATTTTCATGATGTTGAACTTTTATATTTTGAGTTAATAATGGACAAGTAGTAATTCCTGTATTACATGATGATGTAACAGTTGATCTAATATGATGGTGATGGTATATGGAAGATAAATCTTTGCTCTGTTTATTTAAATTCAAAGAAGATAAATCAATCGTTTGCTTCTGAAATACAAGTATTATACACAAAGATAAAATTATTTTTTTTATTATGAAAAGGTATTTTTAAGATATACTGAAACTTCAACTGGAGCCATTCTAAGATTATTCCCGGTTTCAAACCCAGGAAAGAATGGTCGAATATGGGGGTTACTAACTCGACCCCATAAAAAATAGCTCTGTTAAAAAGACGTAAACCATAAAAATTCATTTAAATCATTTAAAATCAGTCCTTAGAGTTGAACGATATTTACGGAGAAGAGTTATGGCACCCCATGATGAAAGCCAAGATTCTTCTGTATAACAAGGCAGTTGTCCCTTTTAACAACTAAAGCAACAAATTATTTAGGTACAGTGAGTGTCTGGACAGGTTACGGGGTCTGAAGGACCAGTTGAATAGCACTGGAGACCGGTAAATTAATTACACAAGATACAAAATGAGCAAAAAAGACTAGATTTGCTGCTGTACTCTGGTCACAAAGTACACAGAGATTTGCATGGATACTTTCCAAAGAAGCACAAAATGTTCTTAATGAATGAGAATCTTGTAGCTCCGGGATCAATAAAGCATCTTTTAAGATAAAAGGAGGTAGCGTTCGCATTGAATGTTATTTATTACTACTCACCCACCAATCACAGTAACAAAGAGAGACTGCAATTTATCGTAGAGAACTTCCAAGGAAAATACCTGACTACAGGAAATAGACCTTAACATTCATGAAGGAAGAAGCGAGATCCTAGAATAGTGAAAATATATAATCAACCAACGAATACTTTGTAAAACATTACTAATAAATAAAGATCACTTATTTTTATTTTTAACTTACCGTAGAAGTATTAGGTATATGGAACATTCTATGTATACCATTATTTTCTCTACTGATTATCTCATTTTCATTAAATCTATTTCGGGGAACTTTATTTTCAACAGAACTTAATGAAAGACAATGTTCTTGTTTCATTGAAGTTGTGTCGCTGTGACTGAATACAGTGACACAGGTTGGTATGTTTTCTGAAGAAAAAACACACAACGTTTAATGATAGAAAGAGAGAAACAAAAGATTCTTTCTATCATGAAATTAAGCATTTGAATATGATGTAGAAATATCGACAACCTCATTTGAAGGTAAACATAATTTAAATCTAACAGACAATGGTAAGAGACTACTCATTATGGAATTGAGTAGTTATTCAATATAAACAAAAGGTTATCAATTTCTTTTGTCATACAAGAGAAACAATCAATCAAAGATTATTTCCATCTGTTTCTAAGTGAAATTAACAAGAATTCATCGAGAAATTGCCTACAGAACTATTGCATGAATATTAGAATAAATCAAATGAAGAGCTACATATGAAATGGTATTGACTCAATGTACTTATATATATATTCAGTTTATGTCTCGTTTATAGTACGGTCAATCAGTGAGTCAGCTACAACATACGGACCACGCACCTATAAGCATTGGATCAAGTTGTCATATCTGATTAGCACAACAAGATGAACACCGGATTCATAGAAGCAGTACACAGAAATAGCAACGCACAACATTTCAGAAAAGCTACATTAGCTCAGCCTAATAACAGTCAAGATTTTAATAAAAACAATATGATAAAAAGCTTTGAAATAAAGTTAGTAGAGTAAAACTTGATGAAACAATGAATTAATAGATATTGTAAAAAATTTGCTACTATTTATTTCAATAACTGGAATCATAAGTCAATTGAAGCAAGACCACCATGGAAAACCTGGAAGTCTCGTGCACGGAACTGATAGGCCTTGGGTTCGAACCTCGCGGGGGGTGGGATTGTGGATGCACACTATTGAGGAGTCTCATACTGGGACGAAACGGCCGTTCAATGCTTCCAGGTTTTCCATGGTATTCTTGCTTCAATTGACTCATGATTTCAACTAATGAAATTACTAAAATCTCCACAAAACCCCTTCTGATACATATTTTTTAGTAATTTTACTAATAATGATCAAAAAGTAGTATAACCGAACTAACAAAAATTTAGGCCTCAGCCACATACAACACAATGATAATCCTGTTTTGTTACCATTCTTTACTCTATAAATCAATTGTTTACATTTTTTCTTGACATCCAATCTACTTGGGATTCGTAATGACATTTCTCTTTGAATGGTTGAGCCAAGACAGTGTCAGGTAGTACTGATTCCTCACACGTTTTCTAAATTAATATTCAGCTTCTATTCACTTAGTGTTGTTTTACTTGTATCTTCCCACTGTTATTTAGGACTGCAATTAATCAGTCTCTTATTGGCATATGTGCATCCTGTGCGAATTGCCTCAATACTGCCTTAAATCACAAGATTTTTAAGCAAAAATGGATAGCGAGTCCTGAATTCCACTGCTAACCACTATCCATCATTGCTTAAATATATAGTTTCTGTTCAGAAAACAGTCATTATAAACAACATAGGATCTAGTGAGTTAGTTACCATATCAATTAGCCTACCTCATAAAGACAGAAATAAGGATGAGAAAAGGGAAGAGAATGTGGGGGTGTGTGAGGAGACACAGAAAATTGTATATGAAAATATAAAATAAATCAAATAGTCGGATATTTAAAAATTATACAAAAGATTAACTAATGAACATGCCTGTACTAGTGAAATCAATTATAGATCACATCACTTATAGTAGTCATAGTACGTCAATTTTGACAATCGGTATACTTACTAATGAAAAACATTTGATTTCTATGATCACTACTTTATTGATTATTTATTTAAACACATAAACATTGGTACAAAAAGGCAACAAATAGATACGCGTCACATAAACCAAAAAACTTATGTTAGGGCTGGGATACTGCTCGGGTGCTCAAACTTAAGCATGTGGTTTTCTTATGGGATCTAAAGATCTAATCCACATGGCAGTGGAGCAACGCAAGGAGATACAGTCACATGGTAGCCGATAAACAACAACTGGTTCATACTCCATTGGTTCTCTCAGGATCCTGGTTTCCATGTGCATCATTGATTTGGAATGAGGATATTCCAACTTGACCAAGTGTAATCAATGGTGACATGGCTCAGAATCGATCACAATAGCGTATATGTATATACTCTCTGTCTTCCTTTAAAATACGAGATCAAAATCGCCTTATATCTTTCTTTCTACGAACTAATTCTTTCTTCCTGTACTATATCCTCATATGAAACCTTTTCTTTTTATATATTACCACCACTGAATTAATTACTTCTATAAATTCGGTGTTCACCTTGTTGTGCTAATGAGTGCGGTGTAGCAACTTGTACCGATGCATATATGTGCCTGGTCCTATTTTGTAACTGACTAACTGAACTCTCCTAGGTGGATCCTCCATGTCCACCAACCCGGTTAAAGCACTAGACACTCGCTTTTCGTCTTCTCCATTTCATAACTAACACCCTCGCCACGAAAAGGCAGTGAGTATGACTTCCCTGTCAGTGGCTGTATACGAATGGTCATGTGATAGCAATTCGTGAGGGAAAGGCGGACTCTCCCCACCCTAGGCCATACCAGGGTATTTGGTGGCGATTTTCATTGATTCATTCACAATATCAATCTAAACTCAACAATCTCCATAACCTTATACTGATAAAATGTAGGTCCTAAAAACACTTACATTCAAAGGTTTTCCTATATGTGTACATAAATAATATGCACAATTTTCAATTCATGTTAAATTGAATCGTTTTATTCAACTTACGTATTACATGATTAGAATGATATCCAGTCATAGATAAATTGCTATATTGTGATGGTATATATTCAGGTAGATTGTTTGAATTGATTTTAGAAGCAACATAATGTATATATGGTAAATTATGAGTAGTATATTGAGTAACTAATTGTATTCCATTAGAGAAGATTGTAGGAGAAACGTTAGATAATGTTATATTCATATCATTAGATAACCATTTACATTTAGTAGTTAACATATCATTTTGAGTCTTTAAAGAAACAATAAGATAGAAATGAATAGAATTATAATGAAACAATTATAACATTTAAAATCTATCTCAATCGAAGTGAATGTCAGATGAATCTTGATTGTATAAAATGAACTACTTCATAGCCATGACAACAGCACATAATGAATATCGCCATGGGGTATAAGAATACTTTTCCCTTCTAGATAAATAATTACAGTGAATACAGATTAATTTAACATAGTGATGTTGAATCTCATCTGTTAGTATTCAAGGTTGCTTGAAACTACTTTAGTGAGATTAAAATATATGAACGACCTTTAAGTGACGGTAAACTAACCTTGAGAGTGTTCACCTAGTAACTAGGACCAAATAAGGTTTATAAACCAGGGTAAGGAATTAGAATTATGATTTATAGTTGATGATTAAGGTTAGAAATCCAGTTGTCCTTTACATAATGTATCATTCTTCTAATTCTATTGTTATTTCAATTTCTCTCCGTTTTCTTACCGGTTCTCTTCATTTCAATCTATTGCTGGTGAGCATTCCATTTCCTATTCACTACAATATAATTAATGCTAATATGAGGACAGTCCCCGAATGAACTCAAGGAAGCCCTAAGAAGCTCATAAAGAACCAAAGGTATTCCATTTAATCATCATTTGGAAGAATATTCTGGAATCCCTATGTCGAGCTACACTATTGGGCAAATGCTAAAAATCCTCTTTATGCGAATTGGATGACAATGATGATGATTTCATTTTTATTAAAAACTATAAATACCTGACTGTTTTGTACCATAATTGATACTGTTTTAGAATAGCATTCCTTTCACAAATCTTCTCTCTTCTCATTTGTAACTAAGGAGGGTTCAATCGTTCGAGTGCTGAAGTCATACGCGGTCCATTAAGAATCTAAGCTCTAGATATGACAGTTAACAACTAGTGAAGTGGAATATTGACGAAAGAAGCAATTAGTCCATTTAACTAACTATTTTCAGAAATCTTTCTGAATGTATGTTACTCATAATGAAGTAATTCTTTAAAGAGAAGTATTCATACAATAAACTAGAATGCAATTAATGAAAACGGGATAATAAGTGATTTAAACAAATCATAATACAACATTAACGAAGGGTGATTTGTAAGTGAATAAATAAGAGTCAAGACTATAATTTATGAACAAACCAATTAGATATAAGACAACAATTCTTGAATGTTTGGCGCGAAATTCATTCATTCATTTAGCTGAATAGCATCTTGATATTTTAGTTAATGTTGGTTTGTGATGAAAACACTAAATCTAGTTCCCAACCGTAACGATTAACTGTAAATCAAAAATTCTAATTGTTCACACTGTTTTATAATTGACTGACAGCCTGCTTGAATATCTGGGCTACCTGTTCCTCCGATCTAGATATTTCATCAAGTTATCTGTTCTGTTGTTTGTTTTAGCACATCATTATGTCTATTGTGCTCACAATCTATTCAGGCGCGTTTATGAAAAGTTTCCAACCTTTCGCTATACGGGATACAAAAAGGTACAATCAGCGACATCATGGTGGCTGGCAATATGCATTGAAACGAATGAACATTAATCAAATATAGATAACCGAACTTCTAACATCTAACTGGTCATCATTCAAAATGTATCGTCACAATCGATCATGGTATAAGAAAAGGAAACTTGTTGAAATACTTTATGCTGAAAATTCTATGTTGTGCCAAAAATATAATGTTGAATAAAGCTGATAATAATAATAGTAATAATAATAATAATAATATAGTCCTAGATAATAGGTGAACATTCTCAGGGTTACTTTAGCATCTCTCGAAGGTTGTCAATTAATTATAGTCTCAACGAGTTAACTATTTTATTATACTCATAAATAACTACGCAGGAAGCTTGGAGATCTACGAAAGTCATCATCCAGAAGATACTTGTGTTTATTAACAGTCGTCTACTTCGGATCCGTTGGCCAGACACTATCAGCAACAATCTACTGTAGGAGAGAACAAACCAGATTCCAGTGGAGGAAGAAATCAGAAAGAAGCACTGAAAGTGGATAGGACACATTGAGGAAAGCACCCAACTACGTCACAAGACAAGCCCTCACACGGAATCCTCAAGGTCAGAGGAGAAGAGGAAGGCCAATGAATACATTACGCCGACAAAATGGAGACAGACATGAGAAGAGTGAACAATAAATAGATAGAACTAGAAAACAAGGACCAGGACAGATTTCGTCAGAGAATTCTGCTCGGCGACCTATACTCCACTGGGAGTAACAGATGTAAGTAAGTAATCATCCACTATCTACGTAGAATTCGGAACAAATCTGTATGGGTCAACGGTATAGCAATGCATATTAACACAACGAGAGACAGTGGAAATTGAAAACGTGAAAAGCAGAGAATGTGAGATAGTGGTCCTTACTTTAGTGGAAACTAAACATACGTGATATAGTTCAAAAGGGACGAATGAGATTGAGTTGTAAAATGTGGAATCAAGATTTAAGGGAAGATAGGGAATAAATTCATATGCAATATTACCACTATCAAACCCTGACCATGTTACTCAAGATCTACAGACATAGATTAGGACCATTACTCGCAGTTCAAATAGAAAATCTGGATATATCGACAAAAGACAGAGTACTAATCGTTGATGAAGTATCTTGACTTTTGACGCAAAATTCCTTCACCCACATGGCTAAACAGAACTCTTGGATTATAGCTGATATCAACTTGTAATGAAAACCATAAATATAATTACTGACTTTAACTTCTAGTCCTAGATCGTAGTTTTAATTTCTCAGACTGATTCATAAACCTACTTTGAGCCTAAGTAGCAGAGTTTCTCAAGAATGAACAACATATGGATTGAACTAAAAAGGTAGGCTTAAGACAGAGTGAATTGGAGAATGCTGGTCGACAACCTATGCTCCATTTGGGGGGGGGTGAAGGGTAACAGGTGAAAAAATACTGAAAAGAAAGAGAAAGGAAATCAATAAATTGAAAACTTACACTATTACAAATACTTATCTCGTTTGTTGTTGTTGTTGGCGTTGTTATCATTGATATTTTATCATTTTGAATAGATGGTGTAAATGATTTGGAAATTTCATCGATTTTTATATCAGTATTTTTTATCAATAAATGATCAAGTTCATTATGGGCATCATAATAATTAGGGATAATTTCTTTCTCTAAAATGATATATAAAATTTACTTAAATATAAATTTATAGAATTTACAGGTAGTTGAAATAAATGAGATAACTACTGAATTCCTTAAGTATTGTCTGTTTGTTGTTTAAGACTGTAATTGATCAGTCTCTTATTGGTATATGTACATCCTGTACGGACTGCTATGATATTACCTTAAGTCCCAAGCTTTATAAGTAATGATGAGTGGTGGTTAGCAGTGAAATCCAGTTTAACACGCGCTTCGTCCTACTCTCGCTCTCTAAATGCTCTTACATAGCTACATGTATACAGCCACTACCACGGAAGTCCTACTTATTGCCTTTTCACGGTAGGGGTGTTGGTTATGAAAATAAGATGAAACACGAGTTTCTATAGCTTTAGCCGGGTTGGTGGATATGGAGGATCCATCTAGTGCAACTATGTGTATGAAAAATTCATCTAGGGGAGTTGGAAAACCCTCATTCTAAACAAATGGTGCACATCCTGACGGAACAATTGGTGTATGAACTAATCGTTGGTCACCAGCTACTATGGGACTGCATGTCCTGACGTCGCCCCACTGTCATGTGGATCAGATCTTTAGGTCTAAGGCTCCGAGTATGTCTCTGCTATAACTGTGACGGCAGATTTGAAGGTAGCGAATTATCGATCAGACCAAAGACGCACAAACACGTAGAACGATCTAGGGTTCTGATTGGTCCCGCCTCCCTATCTAGCCCAGCAGTTGAGTCCAGAACGCAAGTCTCAGCCTCGGATATATGAATCATTATATTTCAAACATACTTTGTTTATATACCAGTCAAGCAGACCACAACGTACCATAAAATAGAAAATAACATTGTACAATATTGACCAACAGGAAAATGACACGTTAAATATATATTGACCAATAAGATGATACCACTTCATGTCCAAGGATAGCATTAGGCCTAAAAGGATAATTTCTGGAATATTTTCCTGAATATCCCAACAGTCTCCCTCTAAGAAAACCACCTGTTTCGGTTTGGTCACCCGGACAGTATTTAACCCCACAAGCAGATCGGGTGATGAATTGTGAGCACTTATATTTGATGCTCCCTTGTACCAATACTGATGTGTGAGCGACGATGATAGTGATTACTTGCTTGCTTAGTCAGACATGCAGATAATCTGCCAGGTGTTAGATGAGTTATATATTTCCCTATCCTTATCATTTATTATTACTGATTGTTCATTGTTGTTAGATTGTGTCGGGTTTTGATGAGGAACTATATATTCACGTTCTAGTCAGGCTAATCACGTGCTCTTGATCTGAGTTGTGTTGACGTCCCGTAGAATAGACACTAGGAGGGAATCTAGAGTAGATATTTGTCTAAGATAAATTAGGGTCCCACTAGTGTAGACGGGGTAAACCGATTGTTATAACAAATATTTAAATGTTTACATAAATAATATGACTTAACAAGGCATTAAATTATCAATTCTCTAACTGTTAATAGATCTTTTGTTGTATGAAAACGATTGTTAGTTTACCACTTGGAGTTCGTGAATCATTTAAATTCACTAGTGGAAAACATTAAGCGATATTGTATAAAAATATCATCTCTGAGCCCTGAATATATTGCATTTTCCCTGTTTCTTAACTATGAGAAAATCTTTTCAATCATTACTTTCACCTCTAATTCAACAAATAACGTTTTGGTAAGTGTCATGAAAGAATGCCACATTATTTTAAAGAAAGAGTCAATCAGTTAATCAGCTACAAAGTAGGACAAGGCACATATATGCATCGGTCCAACTTACCATACCTCGTTAACACAACAAGATGGACACCGAATTCATAGAAGGAATTACTTCAAAAGTAGTAATGTACAGAAGAAAGATTGTGTATAAGAGCATAGTACAGCAAAAAAAATTATTAGTTCGTAGAAAGAGAGATATGAAGCGATTTTAATCTCTTAGTTTAAGGGAAGAGAGGGAGTGTATACACCGACGCCATTGTGATCGATTCTGAGCCATGTCACCCACAATCTCCAACCATTGGTTACGATAGTCACGTAGACTCTAACCAAGTAGTCTGCATCTATCAACATGACTCAGACTAGAAGTTAGTGACTTTAAGGACTGATGCCACGATTTGATTTGGCCTCCCCTAACTTTTTTCTAGCCATCCCCAACACTAATCAGCATTGCGCAAACTATGAAATCATTCACATTGAATATCATTCAATGCTAATAGGTCATACTGACTATAAATTCTAGTTGTGTTGTATCATTTCGTTGAGTTAAGTTTGATGAAACTTTGAATCGAAGAAAATCTTTATCTATTAAATAGGAATTTTGTGAGCAATTATCTTTTAGTCCTTGGATATTGACTTAGATAATCATCATAACTCTTTATCATTATTGTCATTAGAATTTATCTACTTTACCGCTTTCTGTTTGCCTTCACCATGTTCTATGTTAACCTTGACAGTATTAAGGTGACATTTCCACTTATTTCTATTCACTCATTTAACAGAAATAATTTAATAGATGAATTCATGAATCAATTAAAGCTAGATCACCATGGAAAACTTGGAAGCGCTAGACGGCCATTTCATCCTAGTATGGGACTCCTCTGCAGCGCACATCCACGATCCCTCTCGCTAATGATTAACATCTAGACCATTGGGTCAACATTCAACGGTATTAGTGTCTAACTTCATCTAATTCACAAAAATTGCGCCAAAGAAATAATATTATGTACATTGTGTACTATGTAAGTTTATTACTAATTCGCTCATTTTTGTGTACTACAATACACTACTTATAAATATTTAGTAGTTTGTGTTTTTGATTGAGATCATGAACCGATTGGGCTGGACGACCAATGAAAACCTGGAAGCACTGGACGGTCGTTTCGTCCTATTATGGAGCTCCTCAGCAATGGGCATCCACGATGCCGCCAGCGAGATCCTGACCCAGGGCCTTCAGACTCGCACTCGAACGCTTAAACTCTAGACCACTGAGTCGGCATCCAACGGTGTTAATGTCTAACCTCAAACAATCCACGAAATTGCGTGACCATCTTCCATTGTAGTGAAGTAGATATATGTCTCTATCCGACACGGATTAGCTCCACTGGTCACGGCTTCTCAATAGAACTCCAAGAATTTCCTCACGAAGCTAATCACTGGTGAGCACATCGTAATTATCAGTATAGAGTTGTGGAGATTAAGATCTAATTCTACCAATCAAAAACTTAATAATCTCCACAACCCTATACTGATCATTTGTGTTTTTATGAATTATTATGTGAACTAGTAACGTACTTCATTTTTGTATTGCAATGGACTGTTAATCTGTTACATTTTTATTTTTATATGAAGTTTTACTTTGTTTCTTACTTACATACATACTTACGCCTATTACCCCTAATGAAGCATAGTCCACCGACAAGCATTCTCCAACCCACTCTGTCCTGGACCTTCTTTTCTAGTTCCATCCAATTCTTGTTCATTTTTCTCATTTCCATTTCCCGGCGTAACGTGTTCTTTGGTCTTCTCCTTCTCCTTTGGCCTTGAGGATTCTATGTGCGGGCTTGTCTTGTGACGCAGTTGGGTGCTTTCCTCAATGTGTGTCTTATCCACTTCCAGCGCTTCTTTCTGATTTCTTCCTCCGCTGGGATCTGGTTTGTTCTATTATTTATGTTAATCATTTAGGCGCTGTTTATTCTGAACAGTTTCTATGTTCCCAATCAATGATACTGGTTTAGTTTCGTTAATTGCTATTAGGTGTTTCAGACAACCTTGTGATGGACTCCAGTCTATAGTGGTTAAGTCTGTTTGACATTCTATTCTGACTCACTTCTCTTCCATTCTATGCGTATTGTTTTATACTACTTATTTACATTCAGTAAATAGTTGTATTCTCAGCATTTTTTACAATCATGTTGTAGCGTAACTTTGTCGTGTACTATTCTGAAATATTTACATATACTTACAACATTTATTGTATTCATTATTATAGCTACTTTATATTAAACACTGTAGAAGTTATCCACAATTTCGCACATTTGTTTAGATGCAATGATTTTAATATTTTAATAAATGAGATTATCAGTTAATTGAAGTACGGGACGGCCGTTTTGCCCTAGTATGGGACTCCGCAGCTGTGTGCATCCAAGATCCCGCCTCGCGAGATTCGAACCCAGGACCTATCAGTCTACATATTGTTTGCTCTTGGTTCAAGTTTGCTTGCTGATAAACTGTTACCAAGTTTTGTTTTACACTATCGAAGCCTTTTTCATTTCATACAAAAAGACGCATTAAACGCCACAGACACCACACAAGTTGAGGTTTGTAACTTAATTTTGCATATTATTCAATAAAGAATCGTTAGTTTAATCAAATAGTTGTTTTGTGAACTTTGATTTTGCACGTATCTCAATTGGGTGACTTGGACGCTTCAATAGACTTAATAATGGTACATTTTATCCTTTTAATCTATTCCAATTTATTAAAAAACGGAATTTATTTTTGTTTTTGCCTTTAAGAGAGTTTATGACACGTAGACATCTTATGATTCAAGGTTGGTAAGTTCTATTGCTAGTGATGTTTTCTATAGTAATACAATTTTACAGACAAATTAGAAACTTCACACATCATGCGAATTTCGAGTTAATGCCCTTGAAAGGATCCTGTACAGAGACTAATGTATGATCGGAACAACAATTCTTAAATCTGATTCAACTCAAGTTTATGTAATCCGTACGTGATCTTGTATGGTGAACAAGCTTTCCACAGTAAATCAAAAGTGTGAATTTAACAATAAATAATACTCAGAAAGGGGTTTTGTGGATATTATAGTAATCTAATACTTGAATTCATGAACCAATTAAAGCTAGACTTTCACGAAAAACCTGAAAACATTATACGGTTTCAAGAGGTATTTCCTAGAGTTCTAGTGAGTAGCTGTGACCAGTGAAGTTCAACCGGGTCTATTGTAAGATAATAACTCACTGAAGACAACGATAGATTGTGGTGCAATTCCAAGGATTGATTGAAGTTAGACAGTAACACCGTCAAATGCCTGCTCAGTGGCCCATAGGGTTAAGCATTCGAGGGTACTAGGTTCGGATTTCACGAGTAGGATCGTGGATGTGCACTGCTGAGGAGTCCCATACTACGAAGGAATGGTCGTTCAATGCTTCTAAGTTCCTCATAAATTCAACTATTATATAAATAATACACATAAATAAATAGTTTCGCATGTTTAACAAAGTGCATTTTATAAGAAAAAACAACAATAAATTACCGCAATTTTCATCCATTATAACACTACTTCTACAACCTTCCGATTCTGCATCAAAACCATTTTGATAATATATATTTTCATTTAATGGTGTTACTGTTGTAATAGCTGAGCAATTATTTGTATCTATAATAAAGAAAATAAACCATGAATAACTATGAAATGAGATCTAATATACTTCAAAAGGCAGTCAACAACAACAAAAAAACTGGTGAGCACTATTGATTAATTGACGAAATCTATAATCAATATCTATTAAGTGATCAAATGATAAACGTAAAATCTTAATACTATTAGAAAAAAAGAATTGTTAAGAACCATAGTATGTAGGGGTCGGTCAGCTACAAAGTAGGACCAGGCACACATGTGCATCGGTACAAGTTATCATATCGCATTAACACAACGAGATGGACACCGGATTCATAAAAGTAGTTAGCTCAGAGGTGGTAATATATAAAAGAAAGATTGCAATAAAAATATAATACAGGAAGGAAGAATTAGTTCATAGAAAGAAAGATATGAAGCGATTTTAATCTCTTAGTTTAAGGGAAGACAGAGAGTGTATACACCGACGCCATTGTGATCGATTCTGAGCCATGTCACCCACAATCTCCAACCATTGGTTACGATAGTCACGCGGACCCCAACCAAGTAGTCTGCATCTACCAACATGACTCAGACTAGAAGTTAGTGACTTCAAGCACTGATGCCACGTTTTGGTTTGGCCTTCCCTAACTTTCTCCCAACCATCTCCAACACCGGTTAGCATTGCACGTCGTGGTAATCGGTGTTCAGGCATACGTAACACGTTGCCCAAGCACCTCAGTCGTTGAAGATTCACAACCTCATCAACTGATTTACCATCATTCCCCAATAACCTGCATCTAACCTAACTATTACTTACCCGGTGATCCCAGCAGACTCCAGAAATATTTCTAAGGCATCTGTGGTCAAATACTAGTAGCTTACGAATGTCTTCTACTCTTAAAGGCCATGTTTCGCTGCCAGTGGTTTTTAAACCATGATGATAGATGTAGATGGATAACTGCTATTAGTGGTTAGAGATCTTCGGTATTATGGCTTAGAATCCATCAAAATTACGCAAATGAATTCACTCTTTATCTTTCTTATACCAATATACCTTCAAACATGCCTTCTAGAACCCTATTCCTCAGGTTTAGTTATTCTCATCGTCATTCCTATGACATTATTTAAAATTATTTGTTATACATTTTGTTAATTCCATCTCATCGTGTTAATTTGATATGGCTACTTAAAATACAATTGAAAAACATATGAAACTCAAAACAACTATCTACAAGTCAACATCAAAGTTAGAATCTTCAATACGAACGTCAAGATAACTCTACTGTATAGAGCTGAAACCTGGAGAACTACTACGACCATCTTCAAAAAAGTACAAAAATTTATGAACAATTGTCTAAACAAAATACTCAATGTCCGTTGACCGCATACCATCAGCAACAATCTACTGTGAGAGAGAACATACCAGCTCCTAGTTGAAGAGGGAATTAGGAAAAGATGTTGGAAGTGGATAGAACATATATTGAGGAAATCATCAAACTGCATTTCGAGGCAAGTGCTTACTTGGAGTAATGGAGGGAAACGGAAAAGAGGAAGGCCAAAGAACTCATTACATTGGGAAATAAAGGCAGATATGAAAAGGAAGAATAACACCTGGAAAGGGTTGCCCAGGACAGAGTTGGTTAGCGAGTGCTAGTAGGCGGCCAACGCTCATCCATGAGGGGTGATAAGCGCAAGTAAGTAAATCAGGTCAACGCATATTTTCATCAGGTTTTACTTTAATTACGACTGACTGATCAACTTTGATTTAATGTTTTCACTAATGTAATTAAAACCGAGTTACGCATGGATAGTAACATTATGAAAATATTCAGTTGTATTTTTCTGTACACCAATCGTCTAAAGAACATATCTACAAATCTTAAAGAGACACAGCAATTCTACCTGAATGATTTTCTAACAATTAATTCCTGCATAAAACGTAGTTCAGTTTTAAGCAAGAGAAACAAACAGAAAACATCGAGATAAGTTCTATTTCGATTTATTTATCTATTTATTTAAAGCACATAAATATTGATACGAAGGTGCACCGAATATATATGCACCACACAAGTCATTTGATTTGTGTATAGGCTGTGGTAGTCCCCAAGTACCCAGATCGAAGCAGGTGGTTTTCTTAGGAAGACACTCCAGGAGCCTTTGAATTAAAGGTGACTTTTAGTTTTCTCAATTTCGAGACCAATAGGTCCTAAGTCGGAATCCCACAGGGCGGGATCGTGGGTGCAAACCATTGAGGAGTTTCATAGTAGGACGAAACGGCCGTCCAGTGCTAGCAAGTTTTCCATGGTGGTCTAACTTTAATTGACTCATGAATTCAACTAATAAATTATGTTGACAAATTCCTTTAAACAACCAAACATCAGGATGTCAACGTTGGATATTTCAAAGCTAAAATTATAATTCATATTCAATGGCATTAAATTCAACCGACACAAATCGAATAATTTATTGTTACCACATCCATGTTCATCATATCCAAATTGAACATTGTAATAAAGTTAATCTATGATAGATAAAAATTAAGTGAAATGATATGTCCCTATCATTTACAGTTGGGAGGCGAAACCCGACTTACACGTCCTCGTCGCGCCTCATGCCTAATAGGAATCAGTCCCATGAAGTAACGTGAGTGGTAACCCAGATGGTAGAGATCGAGGTAATCACTCACTTGACCGATACCCACAAAGAATCACAGGAAAATTACTCAAGGATCGAAAAACAACAAAAAGTTCACAAAAATGGTGCATGCAATGTACGGGATTACTCCCTACGGGGCAAACTCCAATCGATTGCAAAAACAGCTATTCTAGCCCCAGTAGTTGTGCCGTACTTCGATGTGGCCTGTTTATCTTCAAAAAGGCCTACCAGGCTTTACCAACGTGTTTCGCTAGAAGGGGGTGGCATCATTTACAGTTAGATTAGGTATATATTCTAATTAAACTGAAAATTGCACATCATATATACATTACAACTAACCTTGTGCTGATGAAAGTACACCATCTACAATATAGCACATATCTTCTGGTTCATTAAAATCATTCAAAGGTAATTGAGACCAGTCTTTTGAACATGTTGACAGTTGAACTGTTGAAATTTCTTGTTTAGATATGTTATTATTTGTGTGTAAAAAAGAATCCGTTTCTATAGTATTCAATACAGATATAGTTTGTAATGAAGATAAATCATGTTGATTATCCTCTAAAGGTGACTGTAATTCGTCGTTATTATTATTATTATTTTCATTTAATTCGTTCACAAGTCTACAGTTACTATGCATTGAAGAATTTGCTAAAGTTTCCTTGAATTCAAATTAAAAATTTGTATATATAAAAGTTAGTTTGGTTAATTTGTAGAACTATACAGCTACATATCGAAATAGCCAAGTCAACGATTAAAGCAAATGTTCAAAACAAAAACGACAAATATAAGCCCATGATAATTAAACATCTTTAAATTAACGAAATCTTTTTAAGCCAATCAATTGAATAGTGATTTTATGAATGCTATTATCATCAGTCAGTCAGCAACAACGTAGAACTTCGTACATACGTACGTACGTAAGTACATCAGTTCGAGTTGCCTTACCACATTAGCACAGAGATCCAGTGGTCGATCCAAATCCCGTAGTGTTAGAGGTAGTAAGAGTATAAGCAGTAATCAGAAACATTAGGCTTTGAACATGTTATTCAAGGAGTATAATCCAGTGAAATAAATTTGGAATAAAAAAAATGTGGATCTGAAGAATTCAGAAGATTAGAATTTGGGAGAACACAAAGAGTGGATGCACCTGAGCCGTTGCAAACGATTTTGAGCCATGTCATTCAAGGTCTCTAACCATCGGTTGCTATCGTCTCGTGGATCCCAACCAGGTAATCTACACCTAACAACATGGCTCAGTCCACTTGTCAGTGTACTTCATGGATTTGTGCCATGTTTGAGTCTGACTGCCCTTAGCTTTCTTCCAACCTACTCCTAAACCATGAAACAACTTACGTCAGGGCAGTCGGTGATTGGGAATACGTAACAAATGTCGCAGCCATTTCAAATGATGAATTTTTACTACTTCATCAATTGATTTGCCATCCTTACCTAGTAGCCGTTTTTTTTAATAACTGCATTACTTACTCGGTAGTCCCAGGATATACAAGCAATGTTTCGAAGACACGTATGATCGAATACTAGTAACCTATAAATATCCTCTACTCTTATCGGCCACCCCATACTGTTAATTACCATGTTTCCACAAGTGTGAATAGGTTGATGAAGGAATCCTCGGAATTTTAGTAAGAAACCATAACTAATAGAGTTAATTCATATCAGATAGAGACATATATCTACTTCTGACAATAAAAGATAGTTTCACCATTTTCATAAATTGGTTAAAATTCGACATGAATATCACTGAACCCTTACTCAATGATTAAGCATTCACATACATAACCCAAAGTTATGGATTCGAATCTCATATATGGGAAATAGGAAACTTACAATCAATATATTTTAATTAAAAATATATAATCAATAGATTTGAGTAAACATGAACTCCAAACATTACCTGCTCATTATTATTATCCTTTATATCACTATTATTATTATTATTATTCATTACATCATTGGTAATCAATTGATTATTTATATTGATTGATTTCAATGTTTTTATTGATTGATTATAGGATTCTGATAATTCATTGATAAACCAATCATTCTTCATTGATATTATTGTATTTGATCCATTTCTATTCTGATTTATATTATGTAATAGATTATTATGATTATGTAATTCAATAACTGATTGACTTTTATTCAAATTCAATTTTTCTATATTTTCATCATCATTTAAATCATTTAAACTAAATTCACTACTATTTGTATTCATATTTGATTTGTTATGATTTTGATTATTTTTTAAATCATCAAATAAATCAATATTGAAATCATTTAATGATAATTGATAATGATCAATAAAATGATTAATTTGATTCATTGAATTATTGAATGATAAATTATGTAATTCATCTTCAGGATCTGGACTAGATATAAATGAACCATGATTTATTGTCATTGAAGAGAATTCATCTGAAATGAAATAGACAATGATTATTTCTCTCTTTCTCTCTCTCTTTCAAACTAACAATGAATTTCAATAGTTGAAATCATGATTCAATTGAAACTAGACTGGAATACGTGTTAAGTATGCCCAATCACTGGTTCCTTAGTCTGAAACACTAATGTTTATTGTTTTAACTATGTATTCACAATGTTTGTTTTCAGTTCGGATTTTTTAATTGGATTAGGAGAAGTCAAAGAGATAATGTATCTGGGTGATTGTGATTGATTCTAAGTTATTTACACAACAACTCGAAATATTGGTTACTATTGTTGTAAGGAATCAAACTAGGTACTCTACACCTTGTTTACATGTCTTTCAGTGCAGTTGTCAATAACCTCATACATTAATATGTTCACGTGATTTGGAAGTCTATAACCTTCTCCAATGTGTCACTACACCTTTCAGGTAATTGGTGGTCGGGTATATGTTATGCATGTTCCAAGCATCTTACTTGATAAATTATTACTGCTTAATCAATCAATTCACAAACTTTATCTAGTGCTTTATGCCGAAACTTAGCATTGTTCACTCATAGATTACAATATACATGATCAGTGTTTGAAATACGAATATCCTCTATTCCTAATAGCCATAATTCAGTAACTAAAAAGTAGAATAAAGAATACTGGTATTAAAATACATGATAGCTACTTAATAAAATAGGTTTTATATTCAATAAAACAACACTTATGTTCAACATTATCATGATGACCATCATGATAAGGTATTATAAACAATTTAAGAATATCCATTAGAATGTCAATTAGTCTCCAGTGAATTAAAACTGTACTCACCATATGGTATAGGAGTAGGTTGGAAGAAAGCTAGGGGCGGCCAGACTAAAACATGACACGAATCCATGAAGTCACTGACAAGTGGATTGAGTCATGTTGGTAGGTGTGGGCTACCTGGTTAGGATCCACAGGACGGTAGCAACCGATGGTTAGAGACCTTGAATGACATGGCTCAAAATCGTTTGCACTGACACACGTGCATCCACTCTTTGTGTTCTCCCTAATTCTAAACTTCTGAATTCTTCATGTTCCTTTATTTTTACTATTCACAAATTTATTTCACTGGATTATACTTGTTGACTAACATGTTCAAACCCTAATGTTTCTGATTACTGTTTATACTCTTACTACCTCTACCACTATGGCATTTCAATCGACAATTGTATCTGTGTGCTAATTTGGTATGGCAACTCGAACTGATGTACGTACGTACGAAGTTCTACGTTGTTACTGACTGACTGAGATCATCATAGAAAACTTGGAAGTATTGGACGACCTCTTCGTTCTAGTATGGGACTCCTCAGTTAATTAAATAAAAAGATTGGTTGAGTAAAGAGTTCTCTCGTTTCGATGAGTTCATTTACAAAACTATACAATCGCAAATACGTATACACTTATTGTTTCAGGATAAAAATCAGTCAGTCAGTCACATACAACATAGGACTAGGCACATATGTACATCAGTCCAAGTTGCCATACCTTATTAGAAACAAAAAGATGAATATCGGATTCATAGAAGTAGTTAATTCCGTGATGGTGGTGGTGGTAATAATAGTGATAGTGAAATCCTGTTGAACATAATAACAATGAAGTAGAATAAACAACTGACAAGTCCTATATAAGACGAAACATGAGTCCTGCATCCCACTGCTAGCCACTGTCCATCTTTGCTTAAAAAGCATTAAAACGTTATTCTTTTAAATAGGGAAACTAATAGTAATTTATTAGTTAAATTCATGATTCAATTGAAACTAGACCACCATGGAAAACCTGAATGCACTGGACGGTCGTTTCTTCCTATTTTGGGACACCTCGGCAATGCGCATCCACGATCCCGATCCCCGCAACATTCAAACCCAAGATCTTTAAAAATACTTTTATTACTTAGGACTTAATTATTAATCATGAAGATAAATAAGGAAATTATAATTGAGAAATGAAGGCTCAGAATGGTACAATAAAATGTTGAATTTCGTATGAAATGTAATTAGGAGGATTATAGAAACAAAAGCAAACTAGTTGAGGGTAAAAGGTCTATGAGGAAGATAAAAGGGGAAGTAGATGACTATGAAGGGACAAAAAATATGAAGGAGAAAGAAACTTATGAGACATTAAGATCATAGTAGAAGAAGAGGTTATTATGTAGCTACTGCTTCAATAATGTTAGGAAGATGCACGATAACTGATTTTGACAGTCTATTCCAGTTACAATTTACCATCTATCTGCACGATGAAGTATATATTTCCGATTGTACAGTGTTGAGAATGAATTCACTGAAAACAGAACTTTTCATTGAACCAATCTTTCTTATTATATTGTCCTAATGGGTATAATCCGTTTAATTAAAAACTGACTCATGATTTTAATCTGTGAAATTTCTAAAATCTCCACAAAACCCATTCTGATAATAATAATCACCTGCTCACTAGTGACTGACTTCAGGAGACACTTCTGGAGTTCTAGTGAGAAGTCGTTACCAGTGGAGTTCAACCAGGTCTGTTGTGAGATAGGAACTCACTGAGGACAATGGTGTACGGTAGCGCAACTTCGTGGATTGGTTGAAGTTAGACATTAACACCGTTGGATGCCGGCTCAGCGGTCTAATGGTTAAGTGCTCGCGCGCGAAGCCAGTAGGTCCTGGGTTCGAGCCCCGGGTGGTGCGGGGTCGTGGATGCGCACTGCTGAGGAGTCCCATACTAGGACGAAACGGCCGTCCAGTGCTTCCAGGTTTCCAATGGTGGTCTAGCTTCAACTGACTCATGATTTCAATCTGTGACGAACAACTTACTTTCCAAGAAATCCACATATATAACATTGACAATCAAGGACATATTATTCCTTATACATATCATTTCATTCGATTACTTAAGTTCGAATATTCATAAAAGAATATATAAGATTATTTATCAAAGGATGACTATACAAATCACCATTTCAATCTTTGGTAATATATTTACATGAAGAATAAACATTTCAGTGTAGTATGTGTTAAGTCCGCTTTCCGAGAACTGCACTTGAGCCTCCAGAGGCCCTAAAGGAGCCGAAGAGTCCTAACCAATCAGAGACGTCAACGTGGCGTGCTACTATTGGTCAGTGGCGTAATATGCCTAGATGGTGGTTGGAGGTAGTCAACAGGAAACCCTGGACCCGGGTTTCGTGCTACTTGGCACTCGTCAGCAAGGTGTACCTGCAATCTTGAGGGGACTGGTGCTCCCTGGCGGATTCGATCTCGTGTCACCCAGCTTCACAGTCAGAGACGTTACCACTGAGCTATCCGAGCCGTGACTAACCTCATGTAGGACTGAGATGTAATTACAATTGATTGATCACTGGGTGGTGATCAATGTCTTGCTTGTCTAGTCTAGCACGAAACCCAGGTCCAGGGTTTTCCTGTTGACTACCTCCAACCACCATCTAAATCTCAATACATAGTGCCCGCAGTATCGAGTCACCTAGACTGGTGGCCACATTGCAACATGATCGATAGCATTCGATCTGCACTAATAAGGACTAGACAAGAAAGACATTGATCACCACCCAGTGATCAATCAATTGTAATTAGCATAATATGTCTTTTAGCGGATTGGCCAAAATATGATGTTGATTTATCAAATGTTAACATCTATAAATACCCGTGTTTTTCTGCACACAAATGAACCTTTGGAGTAAAGCGTTTTCGCTTATTATGCACCTTTTTCTCTCGAATTCAGGTCGCTACGTAGTTCTAGCTTGCGAGTTACCAGAATAGCTTAGGAACCAAATACAGCATTCAAATTAACAAGACTTATCAGTAAGTTAATAACTAACTTCTTATTTGATCAAACGTGTTCTATTTGTATTGTAATGAACGAGAACACAAATGGAGACAATCGAATGTACTAGACCACAAAATTACAGCCCATCTTAGACTTCAGTGTTCTTGTATTACCATGCCAATTACTTTTTGTTCCCGTTCTTTCCTTCTCGATCTTCTTGACCTTCTGCTGCCAGACATTCTATTCCTAACTAGTGTAATATACTACATATGTCGATAGAAGTAGCTCACATCACAGCATCATTCAAATTCACTGGAACAATTGAGTAGGAAATGGATTCAAACAATCCAAATGATATTATGCCAACAACCGGCATTCCAAGAAGTATAAGTTATGTTGGATTGCATCTTTGCGGCGCTAAAAGCCAATAATTTGTTGTGATTAATTATTAATTCAATCTCCAGTTAAACAACAATAATTACTTTGAAAATCTTTTCTGATATGCCTTTTATCTAAGTATGACATTTCATTCACAGTCTCCAACCACTGGTTACGATAGTCATATGGACCCCAACCAAGCAGTCTGCATCTACCAACATGGCTCAGACTACAAGTTAGTGACTTTACAGAGTGATGACACGTTTTGGTTTGGTCGCTTCTAACTTTCTTCCAACCATATCGAACACTAATCAACATTGTGCATCGTGGTAATCGGTGTTCAAGCATACGTAAAACGTGGCCCAACCATCTTAGTGGATGAAGATTTACAACCTCATCGACTGATTGACCATCATTCAATAATACCCTGTGCCTAACTTACCCGGTGATCCCAACAGATGTGAGGAATATTTCTAAAACATCTATGATCGAATACTCGCAACTTACGAGTATCTTCTACTCTTAATGACGACGTTTCTCAGGCATAAAGTGCAACAGAACGAACTAGTGTGCAGTATGTTAACAATAAACAAACTAACTTAACTAGACTATGTAACATGAGTTCCATATTTGAAAATGATGAATAAAGTCGTATGAAATCGTGTCAATTAAAAACTTACTAAATCCTTTTGTCTTTGACGATTCATTTCGATTTCTGTTAGAATTAGTTCTTGTATTGAAGTTATATTTTCTACGAACCGCATAACCATATCCAGAAGATGGAGAAATATGTGGGCTAGAAGAAGGCCATGTCATTGTCATATTGATATCATAGTTCCCATTATCAACATAATTGACAGGGTGACAAGATAGACTAGAGTGTGAAATAATTCTTGGAACACCTAAATGATTCGAAGCTATATCTCCAGCATAATCCCATTTTAAAACATCATGGTTATCGGAAATTACATCTAATTGAGCGTAATTATCTCCTTGTTGATTTCTGTCAAAAGATCCCACAGTTTGACTGGAAGAAATAATTTTCTATAGTGTAGAAAATATGTTCAAGTGTAGAATTTATAATATCCATACTGAAACAGTACAAAGTCTATTTCAAAGGTATACAAGATATAAGACCCTAGAGTAACTGTTTGCATTTTGTCATTTTATGAGAAACATCGAATAATTTTTCTCATACTTATTAACTACTTACAAATAAAATAGTAGTAATAGTAGTAAAAAGACATCTAATGGAAATTTCGATAGTTAGAATAAACTGTGTATGAAATACTCCATACTCATAAATTATCACGAGCAATAAAACCGAAATATGACGAATTTGTGACTATTTCATCTGTTTGTTGCTATGATCACATGTTAAACTGCACACCCGACCGTTGTTGCTACCATGACGGGGTGGTCGGGCTTGCCTATCGTGATGAACCAATCGAGCTATAATGACTGGAACAATCGTTCCTCAAGGTTCTACCATGCCACATTGGTCGATTCAACAGCGGTAAGAACAAAAGCAACAAACCCAATGTCCGAAGGCGAAGTCGTACTGCTCACTGTACAGAAGTGTGACAGCAGTAAAGTGTTTTCTTCAGACAACCAGCATGACAGCGATGCTATCTTCTCACAAGGAGGGATGGGGATAGAAAAGGTCGACCCCAAAAATGCATACCTCACCTTATTCTATGGATATCCGTCTCTGGCGGTAAGGTCTCAACAAGTACGGACCTAAAACGAAAATTACTCGCAAAAAGGACGTGTGCGACCGACCTCAAGCAGTTGTCCCTTGGGCACTGCGGTCACACTTTCAGGTCACTAAGACCACCTCTAATCCGATTTCCTTTTCAGGCACCTCCGGAAGAACCCTTCCATGGTGTGAGCAACCGTGAAGTGATAACCGCTCTCATACCTCTGACAGCACTCAAGACCACTGTATGCATAAACTGTAGACTATAGATACGCTCCATACAGAGGTTAGATATCAACAATTATGACTGTGTTTGGCTTGATTTAAAATCAAAAAGGGTCATTATTATCAAACAGTAGTTTCAACCGCAACTAAAACACAAATGAGATAATAATTGAATTTGGTCTTATTAAAAAAGCCTATGCTTTAACCTAGTATTGTGTTCTGCAATCCTATGAAACCACTATTGCTCTCCTTAAGGTTGATCAGTAAACTTTGAAGAGAAAGAAAAACAAGATTATGTAGGTAACTTTATCCTCAAAATCCAAATGGTAACGTTTACCGCTCGTGGATAGTCATGTGAGTAGTGACTTTGGCTAGACTAATAATTCATCTGATCTCAAATCACACTCACATTTGTTGTATATCACTTAACATGCTCGTTTTCTTCAACATACTACACCACGACAATTTCCTCCTCTATCATTAGATTAATTACCCCAGTTACGTTTTGTCCACCAAATGGTACCTGTTACTGTAACTTGAAATCCCATCCTAGTCGTTTGAAAAATGAGAATGATTTGGCATATAAAACTCATATTTCTTCACCATTTTCCAACTCTAAATTAACGTTTTCTATAACCAGGATACCTTACGTTAGGTTTACTTTATTATTATCGCAGTCAGATGCATCATAGAATCTTTTGGTTATCGATTTTTCTTATATGGTTTTTATTATGTTAAGGACATTGTAGTTATTCTCCTACGTGGTGATTGTTTACCTGTTCAATGTCGCTTGAAGGTCTAAGAAAACTGGTTATTACCTGACTTTTTATGCTTGATTAACTGAACCCGGTGAAAAGAATAGAAAGCTATTGGGGTTTGTTGAAAATGGCAGTCAGTGGTATGAGTGCTTCTTTGTTGGTTTCATTAGTAAGACTAACAATTCGAACTGGATATGTATATATATGTGACTCATAGGAATAACATAGTCAAAATATCTTTCATGGTTGTAAACAACTTACTTCCATCAATGGATATGGTGATGCTTTTTTTGAAATGAATACCATTGGAGTGTAGCATTTTGATTGATTTAACATTAAAGTTTCATTATTCATATCCGCTAAAAAGTCGATGGAGGATTTCGCGTTTCTTACACTGTTATTTACTGCTGGCATATAATGAGAGGATGTTGAGGTTGTTAAATCGATTAACTCATTAGGAACTAGTGACAAAAATGAAGTCTGTAAATAAATTTAAAAAAAGATTGTCGGTTTTAATCAGCACAACAAACCTCAATAAATAAAAATCCTGATAAATAGTTCTGTCATAGCACTCTCGTAAACTATTTGAGTAAATGAACACATCAAAATCCACAACTGGTCTCATTTATTTGATTACGTCAAGCTTATTGTACACCATGGTAATATATATGGTTTATCTTCTGTGAATATAAATAAATGTATGAAATCATTAATTCCAATCGATGAATTATTATAGGCACCTATTAGGAATATTAGTCTATACACCAAAGTCCTCAAATACAACACGAAGAACACCAGCCCAATCACACTTGATGGCGAAACTCTGGAAGATGTAGAATCCTTTACCTAACTGGAAAGCATTGTCCATGAACAAGGAGGTTCAGATGCAGACGTAAAGGCGAGGATTAGAAAAGTAAAGGCCGCATTCCTACAATTGAAGAACATATGGAACTCAAAACAACTTTCAACCAATATCAAAGTGAGAATCTTCAATACGAACGTCAAGGCAGTTCTACTGTACGAAGCTGAAACTTGGAGAATTATTACAACCATCATCAAGAAGGTACAAGTATTTATAAATGGTTGTCTACGCAAGATACTTAGCGTCCATTGGCCGGATACCATCAGCAACAGCCTTCTGTGGGAGAGAACAAACCAACTTCCAGCTAAAGAGGAAATTCGGAAATGGATAAGACATACATTATGCAAATCATCAAACTGCATCACGAGGCAAGCCCTAACTTGGAATCGTGAAGGGAAGCGGAAAACAGGAAGGCCTAAGAACACATTATGTCGGATAATAGAAGCAGATATGAAAAGGATGAATAGGAACTGGAAGGAGCTGTAAAGGATTGCCCAGGACAGGTTTGGATGGAGAATTTGGTGAGTAGCCTATGCTCGTTCACGGGGAGTAACAGGCGTAAGTAAATAAGTACACCTAAAATTTGACAACATAAATGTTGATGTGATCCGAGTGTGATTTCTGTGTACAAAAGAGACACATTCAATGACTTATACCACCATAACCTTGGAAAATTGTAAGTGCGAATTACTGTCTTAAAATTCACCTTCTTTTTTGTAAAGCAGATTACTTCTTTCACTCCCATTAACTATCAAGTGCTACTAACTCTGAACACCATCTGGAGCCCTTCTGGGGTTACTACCGGTTATATTGTCCGGACAAAGGAGGAGCAATGAGCGTGGAGTTAGCGACCTCATCATTTAGAAAAGTAATTCGGTATAAGGACGCCAATCAGAAAAAAACTCCAAAGCTACTAACTCCTCGACTTATTACGTATCATATGTTCGATACCTGAAATCTTTGATAATTCTTAATTACTTTGGTAAACGATGCAATACCTCTCGATATTCGTAGACTTTCATATTCCAAACTTGAGAAAACCTGACTATCAATGATATTTTTGTTTAGTAATTTTATTTTATTTTATTTAAACACACAAATATTGATACAAAAAGCCAGAAAATAGATATGCATCACATAAATCATTCGATTTAGGTGAGGGCTGAGATATTGCCCGGGTTACTAAATTAAAGCTGGTGGTTTTCTCAGGGAGCCACATTTGGAGCCTTTGACCTAAAGGTCTGATCCACGAGGCAGTGGAGGAACGTTAGGAGATGCAGTCTAATGGTAGCCGGTGACCAGTAATTGGTTCATACGCCACTTGTTTCTTTGGGATACTGGAGCCCATGTACACCATTGGTTTGGAATGAGGGTTTTCCAACTCCCTCAGGTGGACATTCTGAGCAAACTTACCCGGTTAAAGCACCAGACACTCGCTTTTTATCCTCTTAATTTCTCAAACAACAGTAATGTCACAAGAACGTATTGAGTAGGAATTCCCTGCCAGTGGTTGTATGCACGTGGCCATGTGAGAGCATTTGGAGAGGGATAGCTGACTCTCTCCACCCTCGGCCGTATTAGGGTACTGGATGGCCCGTTCAAAAATGTTCCTCTATTTTATAATGGACAACTGCAAGCAAAACTAACTATGAATACTATTGCATAGCCTAAAAAAATGATGTCATCGAAAAGAAATTCTTTCGTTGAATTATTTTCATTTATTTATTTATGACATAATGGGTTAACTTCGTAATAATAAAAATCATATCTTTGTGGCAAATGGGAACATTTATCAACTGAAATGGTCATCAGGTATACGAAAATCCGGCAAATTTGATGTAACAGATTGTTTAAAATATTTTTCTCATTCTCAAGTAGACTGTAATAATACATTAATAAGATAATTAGATTAGTTGCGTTATATCAGATTCAGGATTCCCGACTCAGAATAGAGAACCAGACTAAAGACTAGATAGTACTTTACTCAACACAATTACAAGCAGTTACTCACAGCGAGTTTAGAGTAGAGATCAATCAGAGGAAAAAGAATCACATATATTTAGTGGTCAGTGGGCTGCGTGTCTGTTTGTCCACTCACAGTGACTAATCTTATTGTACTTTCACTATCACGTATCAAAATTAATCTGTTATTAAATTATGTAAAGTCATAAAATAGCAGAATACACCCATTAACCAAACAATAGAGTTCTGTGGTTAGTTGGAATGAGACTGGATTGGTGCTCTATTATTTGGACGCTTAGACTCTGATCATCAAATCACAGTTTTATGCTGATATTCCTTTGTTGAAGTCTAACGAATCAACCATCGGCAAACATATAATACATGTGAACCAAACTATTGTAAGATGAATAGTTACCAATTAACACATTCACACCCCTGAAAAATGTAGAGGAACGTTATTTTTCCATAATAATTAGTAGGAATTGTAAGTAAATAATCATACTTGAACTAATGCTGTGGTTAAAGTCAACCTCCAAAACTGGATCGCATGACAGGGTCTACAAATTTCTAGAGTTCTTTTTAAAATGAGCAAGGCAATCAAGAAAGTACTATAATGGAAATTAACTTTCCATGTTCAACGCTTAATTAGAGTTTTAAGAACTATGGTTCAGCTCATAATGTACTCACCAAACTATTGCTAAGTCAGGCTATGAAGAGAGAGAATAAATGTTGAGTAAGGAGCTGTATTTATTGAATCATAGTAACTACAACTTATTTCCACTAATCTATGTTCAAAACAACCAAAACAGCGTACATATAGATGACAACCTTTGGTTAGGGTTATAACTGAAACCTCATGTTTTCTCTCAGTGTCTCTGTTTCACTTATCCCATGATCATGATACGCCGTGAAACTCAAAAAGGTGTGTATGGTCTATTTGTGTCATATTTATCTCCGATTTGGTGACAAGCTTTTGTATTCATCAGAAAATTTAGAAAGAAGTTTGAACTCTTGGTAAGTAAAATCGACTATAGAGGAGAGACAGAAACATGCATTGATCTCAGCTGGTATACTGTACAACAGATAAGTAATAATATAAATTTGATTGTCATCAATAAAAAACTAATACCCAAACGTACGTAAATATCGTAGCTTATGTATGAGGTTATGAGTGACTGGACGTGACTATTTTCGTCCAAATCAAAATTATAATCTTAAAAACAATCACGATAATAACTAAGGCACTCTTAATAACAATAAAATATATACTACTATAGGAAAATTACAATATTAATGACTAGAATACCTCTGATTCACTTGTCAGATTGAGTTGATTTGGGCTAATTTCTGGATTGTGTGGCATGGTTAATCCTTCCGGTGTTTCACGCCTGTTGTGCGAAATTTGTGGAGTGTCCCGTTTAGAATCAGTTACCGTAGACGTTGGATCACTGATTAGAGGACTTGTCATCGATGTCGAATCAGGTGGAGTAGACAACGGTAAATACAAACTATAGTTTTGACGTACAGTTGGCAGTGGCAAAGACGTATTATGTTGGAAGTTGTCAACCAATTTGCATTCCATCTACTTTAAAACAAATAAAGTATGTATGTCACTATTATGCACATATTAAAGTTATTCAACAATGAAATTATGCTAAACTAGATAAATACCTGACAACATCTTTAGAACTTGAGTAATTCAATTTTTAAGGATGCAAACTTTGCCATTCCGATAACTTTCTAAATCACTCATACTTCAGAGGAATTAAAGCTCTGACGGAATACTTTGTCAATAAAAGTATGCAATCAAGATTAATCAGGTGTACAAAAGTATTAAATGCAAATGCTTACATCACTATAAATGTTTAGATAATGAATAATTTCCTCGAACTTCACCTGACCGTTTTTGCTACCATGATGTGGTGAACGGGCTTGCCTACCATGATGAAGCAAACGAGCTATAATGGCTGAAACTACAGTCAGTCAGTAACAACGTAGAACTTCGCACGTACGTACATCAGTTCGAGTTGCCACACCACCTTAGCACAGAGATGCAGTTGTCGATTCAAATCCCATTGTGGTAGAGGTAGCAAGAGTGTAAGCAGTGATCGGGAAGATTAGAGTTTGGAGATGTTATTTAAAGAGTATAATTCAGTGAAATAAATTTGGAGAGAGGAAAAAAGGGACATGAAGAATTCAGAAGATTAGAATTTGGGAGAACACAAAGAGTGGATGCACCTGGGCCATTGCAAACGATTTTGAGCCATGTCATTCAAGCTGAAACTACCGTTCCTCAAGGTTCTACTATGCCACACTGGTTGATTGAACAGCAGTAAGACTAAAAGCAACAAACCCGAAATGTGAAGGCGAAGTTGTACTGCTCACTGTACAAAGGTGTAACAGCAGTAAAGTGTTTCCTTCAGACAACCAGCATGACAGCGATGCTGCCTTCCCACAAGGAGGGATGATGTTAGAAAAGGTCGACGCCAAAAATGCACACCTCACCTTATCCCACGGATATCCGTCTCTGGCGGTAAGGTCTCAACAAGTTTGGAGCTGACACGGGAATCGCTCACAAAAAGGTCGTGCGTGATCGACCTCAAGCAGTTGTCTCTTAGGCACCGCGGTCAAGCTCTCAGGTCAGTAAGACCACCTCTAATCCAATTTCGTTTTAAGGTGTCGCCAGAAAAACCCTTTCACGGTGTGGCAACCGGGAAGTGATAACCGTTCTCATACCTCTAACAACGCTCAAAACCACTGTATTCGTAATCGGCCTCCCTCGAACTTCGATTTTAGTTTATGTGTTCATCGTTTCCACCAAAACATTAAAGATTTGAAAATTCGTTGACTGAGAACAAGGTACATTATTAGTTTTCCTTTGTCTTAAAATAATTGTGATAACTTCAGGCGTTTGAACTCGGTCGAAAGTAATATTACACAAGATTCACTTTCTTTTCATTTCATCGCCTAAATCTTTTTTGATAACATTTTTTGGTCACATGTTACTATTTCAACAACTACATGTTGTGAAATTAACTGGTTTCATTGAACCTATAACGATGACACAAACTTACTAACTTCCGATTAAAGCAATTTAATCTCTAAACTTTTTTCGAATTCATCATGAACATTGAACTGAGTAGCCACACTAACCTAACTAGACGCCACAAATGGTCTAAAGCGTAAATAAATATCAGAAAGCGAGCATTTCAATCTGCAAAACTTTATTACGAGAATATTAAGTAGTGGGCAGAAATGATATTACACAACGAGCGAGGCCTTTTCGACCCTCTAGACGGCCTATTTTCTGATTGTGCCCATATTACATTACATTTTCTTATCTATAATTTTGAGTAACTACCTAAACATGCTAAACAGAAGATGTACTTACATGCCTTTGAAAGAAGCCCACAAGCCATCGCGAGTCACGATACTTTATAGAAGAATTATACCACTGGATGGTGTATTTTTCAAAATAACGTCCCTTTGAAAAGCGAGATACTATATTGTGATTAGTGGGCTATTTTCACTATTCAATGGGAAAAAAAACCATCGACTCTAAACTGATAGTAAACCTTTGAAATTGAAGAATAAGAGCGTTTAATCAATATGACCAAACAAGATACTGAAACTACTATCATTGTAAATAAGTGTCGAGAATTAGTTCATGCATGAAAAATATAGGCAATTAGAGACATACGACCCCAAAGCAATTCAAGTCTGAAACTGAAATTTAAAATTTCCACTTTGGTTGGAGTTTTATATTTATATATATATATATATATATATATATATATATTGCTTTTGGCAGTCTGATTTTTTAAAGCATTATTCGTATGGAGCTTACAACATCAGGTAGCGTCTTTAATTAAAAACCCAAGTACTACCCGAGCTCCTAATTTGGGGGAAAATTTGGCATATTTTGGGGAAGCCGCTATAGTAAATTTTGGGGAAATGGCACAAAAAACCCTAAAAATTCCCCTTTAACCTTGGTCAATGTCATTTGACTTTGGGAACTTCCTCAAAATTTCCCCAAACATTGGTTAAGGTCATTTGACTTCGGGAGTTAACCCAAAGTACCCCCAAATTTCCCTAAAATTAGAAGCTCGGGTGGCTATCCCCACTCACATTCCCATGCAAGTTTTCATGAAACTGACATTTTAATTTTGAAGAAAGATTTTTATTTTAAAAATAGCCGTTTATAAAATAAATCTGTCGATTTGTCGTCGCTCATGAGTTTTTGTTTATAGATAGAGCCATAGAGTTATGGTGGACCATAATTGTCTACCGTCACTGAACAATGCTAAAACATTATACTTTTTACGTAATTCCTTGCTTAAACAACCAAAAGTTATTTGTACTTAAAAGCATAATAATCATGAGACCTTGATTTATATGTCGTCGAACCAGTTTCTTTAATCTCAAGATCGGCAGTCAAGATTACTGTGTTACATTATCGAAAGAATTTTTGAAAGTACCAACAATAAAATCGGATCATTTACACTACCAGGCTTGTTTCCAAAACCGAGTTGATATGACGCTAAACACAAATAAGTGTACGACAAACTGACTAATGTAGTGATACGAACAAACAAAAACTTCATTCAGTTTTAAAAATAAAGAAGACAAGGTCTCCCTGCGATAGTTCTTGTACTATTAGTTTCTTGGTTTACCCGACTTCTTTCGAAAAAGTCGACAGATGGAGCTTCAACAACGTGCTGAGGTAATTAATTATACTCGTAGATGATTCGTTGGGAAAGTCGATAGTCAGCTGACAAGTAATTTGTCCTGAGCTTGTGAACTTTTGACAGTTTCCTCGCAAATTTTTCGCTTTCAAGGACAAGAAAAATGAATGCATATCACATGCAAATTTACCACTAAATATTTTGAAATCTGTAATCAAGTCACCTCTAGTTCTTCGACATGGTAATGCAAATATGTTTAGTTTAGCCAGTCAAACATCATACAGGAGCTCCGCTATCCTGGGAATCAGTTTGGCTGCTGTTCTCTTTACCTGTTGCAAAACCTCACTGTCACTTATTATGCATAAGCTAGCTGCTTGTATATAGTACTCAAGTTTAGGACTCACGAATATTGTATACAAAGTCAAAAACTTTTTAGCGTTAACATGGATTGAGGCTTTTTGTATTAACCATAGGGTTCTGAGACCTTTGGCGGCTATTTCACGACAGTAATCAGCTGTTTTTAAATCTTGGCAAACGATTACTCTCAAGTCATTGTGTGTCTGGACAACAGGCAGCTTAATGTTATTCTTCATAAACGTATCTGGACCTTGATGACCAATATGAATCACAATACATTTGGAAGCGTTTGTCGGCAATCGCCAAGTTTGAGGACACTCAGATAATTTCTCCACGTCATTTTGAAGTTCTGAGCTGTCACCTTTGCTTTTTATCGCTTCCCGTATCTTGACATCGTCAGCATAAATAAAGACCGATGAGGAAGGTCATTTACATACTAGTCGAACAACACGCCTCAAAACTGTACCCTAAGTCACTCTGCCAAACACAGTTTCCCAGCTAGACAACTTGGAGTTCACGTGCACACTTTGTTGGCGCCCAACTAGGAAGTCTTTTATCCACATTAATACAACGCTTTCAAAACCAACATTTCTTAATTCATATAACAGTCGGTTGTGAAAAACTTTGTCAAAAGCTTAGCTGAAGTCAATGTACGCTACTTCCACTCTTTAAAAGAGCTCCAGATTTCAAGAGCCACAAATAATTTAGTGAGACAGGAATAGACTATTCTGAAACCGTGCTGTTTTTTCGAAGCAATCCGGTTTTCATCAAGATACCTAAACAGCTCCTTCCGAATAATAGATAGAGGAATATCAGGACAAACTACTTTGGGGTAATTTTGACTCAGGAACCTCTTCTAGATGGAGAACTAGACCCAAATACAAAGTCAACAAACCTCCTGCTCACCGTGGACTTCGATAGAGATGATGCACTTGAGGCTCTTGGCACCTTTGATATGGAAACGTCAACAGGACCAGAAGAACTACACTCTCAAATCCTGAGACATATTGCACAGTATATCGCAGTCCCACTGACTGTGAGACTTAATATTTCACTTGACCAAGGTGTGTTACCTATGGACTGAAAGGATGCAATTGTCAAGAAGTAGCGGGAGACGCTGGTGTATGCGCACTTCTGGAAGACTTAAATATTGTAATTAAATGGTTTGGGGAGTGGCTGACGCCTATCAAAGCGGCAAGGTGTTAGTATGCACTTTGGGGATACAAAGGTTAATAGGTACAGCACAGGGAAAGTGCCTCTACCCGTGGTCCGGTCTCATAAAGATATAAAGGTGACAGGGAGTCACGATTTTAGGACGGCGGCTTATCGCCGTGAGGTCGGGCTTTAAAACGGACATTCACAAAAGTAGATACTACAATGTTCACTACAGTATACACGACCTTAGTGAGAATTAAGCTTGAAAAATACGTTCAGACTGTAAGCCCCTGATTAAAAGGCGACTCGGATATCCTGGAAATAGTAGAGAGAGTAGCTACCCGTGCAATTCCAGAACTACAGGGTTTATCATACAAAGAGCAGCTTGAAAAGCTCATCCTTTTTACTCTGTCTTATAGTAGGCTAAGAGGTGATATAATTTTGATGTATAGAATACTAAATAATTTCGAACCTAACATATTCTCTCTTTTTCTTTCCACTAGATCGGGACATCTCAAAGGACAAAACATGCGAGTAGGAAAGCCAAGAATGAACAAAATATTAGTAGCATACAGGTTTTCACACCTATTAATCTATTACTGGGACCTGTTACCCGAAGCATTGGTGTCAGCATATTCAATTAACTCATTTAAGAGAAGACTGGATACTCGTAGAAGCACACTAGAAAAGAAATAGGCGTTTAGTCCTTACTGCACAAACCTGAATCTGAAGTTATTAAGCAACAATCAATTCAACGTGTGCATTATGAAACAGACAGAGCTACATTAATATTCTTCGCACTGATTTTGTGGCTTTGATGCAGCAAAAGACCATTTAAATGTGCAAACACCTAATATCCATGCAACTCAACGGACAACCAACAAACCCACAGCAGTTACGAAAGGACAGCAAAGGCGCGTACAGGCAACACAAACATATAAGGAACATATGCACAAAAACATTAAGAGAAGACAGGTTTCAGTACCAGATAAACTTTACACTGGTAAAACTGAATCGCGTTTGAGCCAGTTTGACGGAAGAACTTTCCACACATTCTTCAACAATTTAATTCGTCTCCATTTGGAGCACAGAGAGATAGTATTTCTTCCTCACTCCAAAAGGATAAGGACACTGTGGAACGTATCCAATGGCGAGCCACGAAATCAGTCCGCCGACTCAATTTCAAGCCTTATGAAGAACGCCTTCAATCACTAAACCTTCACCTATTAGAGTATCAGCGTCTAAGAAGTGCCCCTTTAATGGTTGATTATAGTACCCTTAACACTTCTGAACATCCCAATAACTACCTAATTAAGTTTAACTTCAACACAAACCTCTGGGAAAACACCATAAGGATGATACGGGTATTCAGTGATTGACAAGGCTTCTAACAGTAACACCTTTTAATATAATTTGTTCCCACCGAAAAAAATCAAAAGACAGAGTCGATGAGATCGGAAGAGTGTATTTGGCGATAACCAATATATCGGAATTATCTTATCTAACCTGGCTAGCGATTGCGATAGATGATGAGCACAGCGTTACTACACGTGATCTGTTGCGGATGCATGACCAAGCGCCTTCAGCTTGGTGAGTCCACTAAAACTAATCTGGTCAGCATCCAATGTCGAAAACTTAGAGAGCTATTTATTTTGGGGATTTATTTACCGCTACAACCCAGAAACTGGAAACACAACACTGCAGAATGGAATATGGACACAACTTCTACTCCAAAAGAGTTGTCGAATGCTGGGGTTTGTTGGCGGTTGAACTAATCAGAGAGACTTCCCAGGAGTCTTTATTAGGAAATTCGACCTTCCCTTAAGGACTAATGATAATATCTTTTTCGGATTTACCAATTTCTTTTTTCCTCTTCTATCGTCAATATAACTAGGTTCCTGCCTAGAGGTTTTGGCGATCCACTGCTACTAGACACAGAAACCCGTTAATCGTAAGCTTCTACTATTACCTCCACCACTTTTGAACCATTAATCAGGACCTTCAAGGTCGTTTAAACAAGATGGCGGGCGGTTTTGAGTGGACCTGACTTTTCACTCTGCCGCTAGTATGTAAGTAATATCTGTTATTGATGTCGACTAGTTGTTTTGCAGTCGTAGGTGTTTCCTATTATACTTCATTTTGTTTAACATGATGAAATTTTCGGTTCAAACTCGCATCATTCGGACGTCGCAGAACTTCTGACGGACATGCCTGTTTGCTTTTTTAGTTTTTTAAGTCTCACTACATTTTCTATTTGCATTTTGTAACTAGCGCACTTTTCATACTCACCCTTCATGTTTTAGTTATGAATATTTTTGAGTCAAACTTAAATTGTGCTTTATCGTTTAGATCTTCATCTCATGTATAGATTCAGTTTTCCTCTACTTCTGCGAAAGTACGGTAGTGGGACCAAGGAGTCAGGTAATCTTTGTCCTACTGCGTATAAGACATTTTAGTTTCTTCTAATAGATTGAAGGTATTAAGATCGAAGCTAGCCCTAGGAACATGCAGTATGCTATGTGGATATGTTGGGTTTTTATTGCTTACGGATAGTGAAGACACACCAGAATACTATCCTCGTCATATAACTGTAAGTGCATGCTTATGGAAAATATATTAATCATATAACTACCATTTGAAATTCTGCTTTTTGTTGATACACGTCTAGATCTCAGTTCAAACTGCCATTTTCTATCTAAAAGTGTAAACTTGTTCTAAACAGTAGATTCTGAAATCCTTCTTTTTTATCCCCACTCCTTAGAGTTTTTCTCATTCACACTGGTTTAAGGGGTCAAGTACTGTCACGAACCACAACTTGGTTGCTGAATCTCAGTTTTCGTCTGGGAAGAACAAGGTACCAAGTGGCCTGTTTTAGTCTTGGCAATGTGAGCTCTTTTAGTCGGTTCACTTTACATATTAATGTACCGATAGTTGGGAGCCTTAACCACGTGTTGAGGTAAAAAGTTTTACGTGTTGATAGATCGATGGAAAAGTCGTTATTCAGCTGGCAAGTAGTTGGTTTTGAGTGTTCGAACTTCTTTGGATTACCGGTTCAGATTCTCTGTTTTGTAAAGTAGTAAAACTGAGAACTTATTAGATGTAAATAATTATTAGATGATTTGGGGACCGCGATCAGAACATATCGCAAGCGTAATATTTTAAGTTTGATCAGCATTTTGTAAAACGGTTTTGCCATCTTAATAATTTTTATTATTTAGTCCGTGGTCTTCAGATATCTGCGTGTACGATCTTCAGCTGAAAATCACGTTTAACGATCTGTTCAAAATAGAAATTTATAAGCCGTAGTGTTGTTTTGATTGATTATGATGACAAACTTGCAAGCTTACGCTTTACACTAACTTATTCGTGATTTTGCCTATTTCGTTTGCTTTCTGGTTAGTTTCTTACTGAAGTATTAAATAACTATTAAGTTTATACAATAGAGTTTAATGTTCTGTTGACCCGTGACCTAAATCATTAAAGAAGCATAACGGCTTTTCAAGTCTTGTATGTGCGACAAATAAGGCTAATATAATATTTGTCCGGAATCTTGTATCTGAATTACAGGTGCCATTATGAGCTATTCAAGTCACATCTAAATTCTCCTAATCTTTAGCTGTAATCAGTAATTGTTTTTTTATCAGGGTATCTAACATATCCGGCTTTCATTATTTCTGTCTATTTCTTTTTTGTAGGCTTCATTTTTTCGACAGGTCCCACTGAACAGTCTGTCTAAATTTTGGGGTCGGTTGGCTGAATGTCATATCCCAGTGTTCTTAAGACCTATAATCTACCATTCCTATTCACATCTGTTCCATTGTGATTTAAGCGAAGTTGAAAACCCTGACTTAAAAAGCTATACGTGCCTATCAGATTTTTTTGTTCGAAAGATTGCTACCGACAAACGACCTATTAATTATTCAGCATCATTGGTAAGTGGTCGATTTCATCCACTGGTTGTTCATAGTTATATATATATATATATATATATATATATATATATATATATATATATATATATATATATATATATATATATATATATATATATATATCTATATATATATATATATATAATGTCCTGCTCTTTTGTTCGACTCAGTCACTTTAAACTACCGACCAAATGGCTTTGTAAAACAAGAAAGTCAAGACCATTGAAATATTCATTGGCAAGAGTTAAAGGGCCGTGTTTATAGCTTATTCGTATTTCTGGGTCTCCAGACTGACAGAAATATGTGGACAGTGTTATTGACTAAGTAAATAATTCACTTACTGATAATATTCCATACTTGTATCTCACCGTGTGTGTTCAGCTTTGTGGGGTGTATCGTGGCTTTATATGAACACTTAACAAACCGTCCTATTTGTTGCGTCTGTCTTCGATTAGTTTCGTGTTAAGTAATTACATGTTGAAATGCACGGGTTCGTTTAACGGTCGGTTGTTTCGGCATCATAGTCAATAAAAGCACCTTAATTATCCTTCAAATTTGGTCAATATCTTGATATACAGATATTTTATTTGTCGTTATATCAGGTAGTCTGTCGTTCACGTACACTTCTTGTTTCGTAGTGTTCAGTTTCAAAATAATGTAAAAACTATTAGATACCGCTCAATCACACCTCAGGCAGAGTGAGGGCATACAACCACCTCTCTCCATTGTTCCATTCGAGCAGTGGGGTTAGGCAGGGTTGCCCAATCTCACCATTCCTCTTCAACTTTGCCATCGACGACATTCTGGAAACAGCTCTGATGAATGTAAGTAATGGTGGTGTGGATCTGTTGCCTGGAGAAAGACTTCTCGACCTTGAGTATGCAGACGATATTGTCTTACTGTGCGATAATCCCCAAGACATTCAATTCTCACTTAATCAGTTGGTAATCAGTGTCCGTAGGTATGGTATTTGCTTTGCACCTTCGAAGTGCAAAGTACTTCTACAAGACTGGCAGGATTCTAATCCTGTACTCACCCTGGATGGTGAGCAGATAGAAGTAGTTGAGAAGTTCGTGTATCTGGGTAGCTGCATAAGTGCTGGTGGGGGTGTGAGTGATGAGATCAATGCACGTATAGTTAAAGCCAGAGTGACTTATGCCAATCTGGGCCATCTTTGGCGCCTTCGTGATGTTAGTCTGGCTGTAAAAGGTCGGATCTACAACGCGTCGGTGAGAGCAGTTTTGCTCTATGTTTGTGAAACCTGGCCTCCGAGTTGAGGACGTTAGACGACTCTCTGTGTTCGATCATCGTTGTCTCCGAAGGATTACTGACATCCAGTGGCAACACCATGTCAGTAATGCAGAGGTTCGGCATCGTGTGTTCGGGCACAGAGATGATAATTCAATTGGTGTCACCATCTTGAAACACCGACTTCGGTGGCTTGGACATGTTCTACGAATGTCGTCCCAGAGAATTCCACGTCGTGCATTATTTGCCGACTCTGGGACTGGTTGGGAGAAGCGGAGAGGTTGTCAGTGCATGACATGGTGTCGTGGTATGAAAGAAAGCTGCAAAGGACTGGCTTCTGTCGGTCCTTCATGACTCCCTGATTGGGGTCCGAGAGATGGTGCTGCACAGTGGCTAGAGACGTTATCAGATATGGCTCAGAATAGAAGCCAGTGGCGATCCTGCTGTAACCTTCTTTTACTTTCTTCATAAAAAGTGGTTGTGTCTCCCTTAACTGAAAGATTTCTTCTGATTGTACCTTTCCGTTCCCTCATTATTACTATTATTATTACTACACTACCTTACACCAACCTCTTCTTTATTGTTCTGTTTTTTTCCTTCTCATTGTTTTGTGTGGCGCATATATATTGGCGTTCTCTTGTACCAATATTTATGTGTTCAAATAATAGTAATAAATAATACATATCAACTAGATGAGGCACTTTTTGTCCTACAAAGTGTTTGACGGAAGTCCTAGATACGACCAATGCGCGTGCGCGCTGGATGAGATTGAGCTCTCTTTATTTTCAATTAGCGTAGAGTGATCTATGTGAAAGACATGAACAAAAGAATATAAAGCAGTAAGACTTGGAATTTTAAGGTAGAGTAACATTAAAATCGTCTGTGCTACTGTAAATGATTTTGATTGATGCCACAGCCTATAAAACCTTGACTTCTAATCCTATCAGATAGACTATATATTCGTAGTCATACTGATAGTTTGAGAATTCATAAGTTCAACGTAATAATGCACCAAAATGCCCTGATACGGCAGAGGGTGGGGGGAGTGAGCTATTCTTTTCGAAATGGTCCCACATAACCACGCGTATACAGCCACTGCCAGGAAAGTCCTACTCACTGCCTCCTCGCGGTGTTACTGTTACGAAATTGAGATAACGAAAAGCGAATATCCGATGCTGTAACCGGGTTGGTGGATATGGAGGATCTACCTAGGGGAGTTGGAAAACTCTGATTCCAAACCAATGGTGCATATGGGCTCGAAGATCCTGAGGGAAAAATGGCGCACGAATTAATTATTGGTGACCGGCCATCATGGGACTGCATCTTCTGACGTTGCTCCACTGCCTTATAGATCAGACTTTTAAGTAAAAGGCTGTGGGTGTGGCCCCCTAAGAAAACTATCTGTTTCAGCCTGGTCACTCTTGCAGTATCACAGCCCACACACAAATCAAGTGACTTGTGTGGTGCATATGTATTTGACGCCTCTTTGTACCAATATTTATGTGTTCGAATAAATAAACAGCGTTATCATATGTATTTAGGCCTTTTTTGCATATCCTTAATCAGTATATCAATAGTTACCTATTTTTCAAATAATTATGTCTAAAAATTCACGATTGGTAATATATATGCAATTCAAATCCTCACTAACTCAGTTTACTTCACTGTAGAAAATTACAGTCGTACTGTATATTTTATGGTTACATATAATTAGTAAATTACAATGACTTAACAGGTCAACAAAAGTTTTGCTGTTTTGGAAGTCATGACATGGGTTATTTGCTGCTACCTAAGTAGCTCTTTGACAACACCTTTAATTTAAACGATAGTTCGATTTCTGAAAGATATCCTATCTATTCCCTTTAATAATCTTAGTCACATTTAAAACTTGGTTGGGAAAAGCTTATCGTTGGTGAAGAATAGATAAAATGGTATTGATTACTTTTTTGTGGTTATCAAATTAATTTACTCTTTTTGCAATCATTACAGAATATGCAAGTATACGGTGAATCAATATTGGTTTAAGAATGTTTTAAAGAATACAGAAAACTCAAGTTTTTCTTTGTTTGATGTAGGTTAGTCCCGTTGATGGTGAAGTACTCCATTGTGGTCCGATTAATTCAAAAAATGCTGTTTTAGAGCAAATTAAAGGAATTCGCTATTCATTAGATGAATTTCTTGGTCCAGTGGGAAGCATAGAAAGTTTAAATGGAAAGAAATCTGACTGTAGCCTTTATCAATGTGTTATTTATTTAGCTCCAGGAGATTACCATCGATTTCATAGTCCTGTTGAATGGAGTCCTACAGTAAGACGGCATTTTCCAGGTATGTTGCGAATATTAATTTTAGTTAATTCATCTCCCCAAGGAAGGTGCTTTCTTAGTTATTCTCCGTTTATTTAGTGAAGGGTATGATTTAAACTGAGAAAGAAAGAAAGTATATTTTCATTTGTTTATATCTGCTAAATTAATGTGACGATGAGATTTTAAAGTCTAGGTATACTTTAAAAAGTAGCCGATATTTGGGATGAAGTTTTACCGAGAAATATGTGTAAGTTAAGAACATGTCTTTAGTGCATATCCATCCCGTTCCTGACTAACACTCCTTCATAAATGTTTTTATATGTAATGTAAACACAAATTGTTATCTAGTTCACACGTCCAGTACAGATTTATGTACTCAAATTTGAGGTACATGTTTTTTTCATGAGGACTAATAATAATGTATAGCGTGGTTCGAACTTACAACTAGTTAGTCAGGTGTTTCAATCACTAAGTCACAACTTCATGTTGATTATTCAAACTCTAAAAAATAAATAAAAAACCGATGCAGAATAATATCCTAATTTATTTTTACTTTTGTCATACAGTGCTGGTAAAAAGCTTCAAAATGCAATTACGTCCAAGGATATTTAGGAATCATGTATTTTATTTAGACTGATGATATTAAGTGATTTATTCAGAGGTAGGATGGTTCATTGCTATCAGTTTCGTCAGCATAGTAAAAGAATTCCTAGTGCTGAACTGATGAGGAAATGTGGTTTTCAGATACGATCAAATTACTATCTGGTTCTTCGTGGTGTGATCCGGTGAGACCTATGTGGCTTCGTGCATGCGTTTGTGTGGGAATATTATACCACCTATAACCAATTTGTTGTATGTTCATTAATTCGCAAATCTGTCACCATTCTCGTTCCTTTCTCCCAGTCCATGTCGTCTCATGATATCTCTATATCCGAAGTCCTCCATTCCGACTCTGGCGTTCAGATCTTCCATCAGGTTTGTTAGGTCCTTTCCTGAGCACTGCGCTATGATCGATTGCAGCGTCTGGTAAAACTGATCTTTATTGTCTTCATTGCTATCATTGGTGGATGCATAACATTCAATGTGATTACCTTCTTCTTTGTTTTGAAGGATGCTTTGATAGTTCTGTATCTATGAGGTTTCCACCCTATAAGTGCTTTTCGTGCTTCCTTAGACAGCATCAGAGCAACCCCTGAGTGTGTGGAGCATTTTAGTCTTCATGACTAGAGTAGAGCATCGTCTCTCCCGTATCTATCATTTTCTATCCAGCTTGCATCCAATGGGTTTCACTGATTGTGAGCACCATCAAGTTGTATCTCATCATTTCCGCAGCTATTTGACTGATCCTCCCAGTCTCTTACACTGTCCGGACATTCTATGTATTTATAAAAATTGTTGCTCTGGTTGTTAGGTGGTGCACCGGCTTCGTGACTTCCAAAGAATCTAGTCTTGAACCATGCGTCTTCATAATTCTTCCTTCAACTCTCAGGACAGAGTTTAAATGGTTTAATTTGTTCATTCTGGTTAGCGTTTTTTAGCAAGGTTGTTTTCCATGGGATATGGTTGCTGACCTCATACCCAAACTTCGTCCTTTACCCGGGTTTGGAACTGGCAGTAACCCTAGAAGAGCTACAAGTGCAGTTAGAGAAGATTAAGTTAATTATTAATATTCTTCAGGTATATGTTTACTGCAGTTACTCTTAAAATTCCATTCCGTATGTGTGGATGGTTCATAACATATGTTTTATTTATAGACTCTAAGGATAAGATGCAGTGAAAAACCTGCCGTCATTTCGTTAGAACCCATTCACTATCCATGTAACGCGAACTAGCGATCTGTCTAATGTTCTTTCTTATACTTATTCTTCGCTAAACACTAACAATCACTGTTTAATATAATTTCAGGTTGATATTTCGTTAAATACGGAAATGTAAGGTACTTGTGTACAGTTGTGACTAATGTTCAGATGTGTTGAATCTGTCTTTACATTTCTTACAACCAAGGTTTTGAGTGGATTATGACATTAAAGTTTAGAAGAGATTGCCCCGAAGTTGTTTAAACCGTAAATTTATGATAGATATTTCAGTTCTCCGTTGTTTACTCTATATAATTTTATTATCATTTTATAAAGTATGTTGTTCTATTTATTCTTCTACAATTCTGTTTTTTATTACAAGGCAGATTATTTTCAGTACGTCCGAATATTGCTGGACGTCTACCAGGTCTATATACTATCAACGAACGTGTAGTTTATTTAGGAGAATGGGATCATGGATTAATGTCATTCGCAGCAGTTGGCGCATTTGGTGTTGGTAACATACATGTAAATATTGATCCAACATTAATTACAAATAAGAAAGAGGATAATGCATTACGTTTTCGTTCTTCAAATACATCAATAATGATAAATCAAGAATATAAACCACCATATTTGGAAGCAATATTTAATGGTGAAATGAAATTAAAGAAAGGTGATGAATTAGGCTGTTTTCGTCTAGGATCTACAGTTGTTCTGGTTTTTGAAGCACCTACAAATAAATTAAAATGGTGTGTAAAGCCTGGTCAACGAGTTAAACTTGGTGAACCAATTATAATGGATTGCTAGATTTTTTTAAAAGTGGATTTAACACCATAAGTGTTATCATTCTTTGTACATTGATCTGTGACATATAATGTTTAGGTAAATGAATAATTTCATTATGATAATATGTAAATAAGAACAATTTTATCTTAATTTTTATGTTTTAGAATGATTGGATATTGAATAATCGTAATTAAATTGATATATCCATTAAAAATGGAGTATAATACATCAACTTAAAGTGTTGGTTAGAATTCTATTCTCAGATTTATTTCTTTTCAATCAGTTAGTCAAACGTAATATAGAATCTGGTACATGTCAACATCGGTTCAAGTCACTATATCACCCCACTAACATAACGAGATGAAGTTGTTAGGACAAAGTAGTATAAACACTAACAGTATCAATAGTAATAGAGAAGATTAGTCGTTAGAGATACGATTCAAAGGAATATAAATTAGTGAAGAAAGACCATGAGGAATCTAGAAATTATAGTTGTGTTACACACGAAATGCAAAATTCATTTTCACGTACCATTCATAAACTATTTTACAACTTTTAGTAAGTAGTGATAAATACATCCGTCAAATTTTGTAATTATCATAATCCACAGTGACAACCCTAATTACTCCATTCAAATAGTCAGTATGAACTACCGTAACATAAGTAATCGATATTAGTTAGACGAATATTTATTTACTAGTGAAAAACCAAGCCAACGAAAGTGCACTCAGATAGTTTGTTTCAATCACAGTGTAAATCTACTCTACATCTAAACAATCTTCCACCGGAACTTTCAAGCCCCTAAATGCCTTGGTACGGCCAAGGGTGGGGAGAGATAGCTATCCCTCTCGAAATGCTTTCATATGGCCACGCGTATACAGTCACTATCAGCGAAGTCCTACTCATTGCCTTTTCATGATATTACCATTGTTTACAAAATTGAGAGGACGGGAAGCGGATGTCTGACGCTTTTGCCGGGTTGGTGGACTTGGTAGATTCACTTAGAGGAGTTGGAAAAACCTGATTCCTATTGCTTAGTATTCTCAGACACCAATTCACTCAACAAGTCCCCAAATTAGAACACGGTTGAACGGGAAAGAGATTATATTCCAGATAAATTGGTTATATGGAAGTAAGAAGCACAATAGGAAAAACATAAGTATATTTATAGTTTTCACATGAGAAGATTCTAGAGTGTTATCCGAGTATTGATTAGATAAGTGTTAGCCAATCACCGTGCGCCAAAGTAGTCGTGCATGGAGCGTGCTTCGACCCAATCTATGTGTCGCCGACAGAACCAGTTGTCGGTCATCTACTACCGTGTGACTGCATCTTGTTACGTTGCTCCACTGCATTATGAATCAGACCTTTAGGTCGAAGACTGCTTCGATCTGGGCAGTATTACAGCCCACACACAAGAAAATTTTAATTAAGAAAAACAATACTGTTAGAATAATCTCTCAGGTAGTCTAATTGATTGCAAATTCTATCCACCGCTTGTAAAATAACTTATTTCAAACAGCTTGATTTTGCATTAAAATTTATCAAGTTACGTTTTCTCATAAATAACAATGATAATTCAAACATCCTTCTTGCTAAAATTAAGATCAAGTTTACTCAGATGTACTTGATTTAAGTGTAAGTTTCTCCGAAATCGTTTTTTCAAGGGTTTAAATATCTTTAATAGTAATGACGGTTTTTTTCTCATTATTTCTATGAAATATATTTCACGTTATCTACCTACTTAGTAACTACTATATAAGTCATCTAGATTCGCTAACACCCATTCTTTTAACGCTTGATCAACTCAGTCATATAAAGGGAAAAGACAAAAGTCATGCCGAAACCTATTATTAATCGTATCCGGCCAATGGATGTTGAGTATCTTGCGAAGACAGCTATTTATAAATACTTGTACCTTCTTGATGGTGGTTGTAGTAGTTCTCCAAGTCTCAGCTCCATACAGTAGAACTGCCTTGGCGTTCGTATTGAAGATTCCCACTTTGATATTGGTTGAAAGTTGTTTTGAGTTCCATATGTTCTTCAACTATAGGAATGCGGCCTTTACTTTTCTAATCCTCGCCTTTACGTCTGCATCTGAGCCTCCTTGTTCATTGATGATGCTTTCCAGGTATGTAAAGGATGCTGCATCTTCCAGAGTTTCGCAATCAAGTGTGATTGGGTTGGTGTTCTTCGTGTTGTATTTGAGGACATTTTCCTTTTCGTGACCGGAGTATAGCAGTATCTCTCCCGTAGCTAACTTTTTCTGTCCAGCTTGGGTCCAGTGGGTTTCGCTGATTCCCAGTACTGCCAAATTGTATCTCCTCATTTCCGTTGCTATTTGACTGGTCTTCCCGGTCTCCCACATTGTTCGAACGTTCCATGTACCTATATAAAATTTTTTGCTCTGGTTGTTAGAAGGGGCATCGGCCTCGTGGCTTCCGAAGGAACTCGGCTTTCACTATGAAGCGTCATAATTCTTCCAAATGAAGACCTAACTCCAAGGGCAGAGTTGAAATGGTCTGAATTATTTTTTCTGGTAAGCGTTTTTTTAGCGAGTTAGTTTTCTATGGGATGGGGACGCTAACCCCATGCTCAACCTTCCTCCTTTACCCGGGCTTAGGACCGGCAGTAAATCTAGAAGAGCTACAGGCTGAGTTTAAATTAGGGCATTATAACCGATGTCAGTTTGTAATGAAAACTCTAAATCTAATTCCTAACCCTAACAACCAACTGTAAATCATAATTCTAAATCCACATGCTGGTTAATAACCCTCATTTAGTCCTAGTCAGTAAGTGTCCACTACTATGGGAGAGAAAAAACCAGATTCCAGCGGAGGATAACACCCAATTGTGTCGCAAGACAAGCCCTCATATGGAATCATCAAGGCCAAAGGAGAAGAGAATGACCAGAGAACACATTACGTCGAGAAATGGAGATAGACATGAGAAGAATGAACAACACTTAGATAGAACTGGAAACGAAGGCCTAGGACAGAGTGGGTTGGGGAATGCTGGTCGGCGACCTATGCTCCATTGGGATTAACAGACGTAAGTAGGTGTCTACTTTCAAAGTCAGTTTAGCGTCGCTCAAAGGTCGTCCATAAATTATAGTCTCAGTTCTCTCATTTTCAATTACATCCAAATTGATATTCAGCTGTTTTCAAGGAAACTACGTACTTGTCTGTAGCTTTTGAAGAGTACAGTGAACTTTCGACTTCCTTACATTGTATTATATCCAAATGAAGAATAAATGAGTGGTCAAGGTTAGCGATTGTTTATAGACTGTTATTACGTATATTCTTATTGGATAATTATTAAGTAACTGAACTATATTTATTTATTTGGACACATAAGTATTAGTACAAAGTGGCAGTGAATACATTTGGGCCACTCGTGTCACTTGATTTGTGTATAGGCTATTTTACTGATTGGGTGCTCAAACCGAAACTGAATTGTGTATCTATTCAAATTCCTTCTATCACAAGATTTCATTTAACCTGTCGACTGTTGTTATACGATTTGTCATTCTTTACTTATTCCTAATACATTAGTTACAGTATTCAATCCCGACTGTAGCTGCTACATTGACGAGGTGATCGGGCTTGCCTATTGTGATGACCCGACCGAGCTATATTGACTGGAACATATGTTCCAGTAGGTTCTACTATACCATGCTGGTCGATTGGAGGACGGTAAGACTAAAAGCAGCAACTCAAGGTCTGAGGGCGAAGTCGTACTGCTGACTGTAGAGAGGTGTGACAACGGTAGGGTGTTTCTCTCAGATAACCAGCATCTGCAGCGATGCTGCCTTCCCACAAGGAGGGGTGGGGTTAGAAAAGGTCGACCCTAAAAATGTCACACCTCACCTTACCTCACGGATTTCCGTCTCCGGCGGTAAGGCCCTTTGAAGAACGGAGCTAACACGTCAAACACCTCCCACAAAAACGCCGTGCGCGACCGGTCACAAACGGTTGTCCCCTGGGCTCTGCGGCCACGCTCTCAGGTCTTTAAGGCCGACATTAATCTGACTTCCTTTTCAGGTTCCTCAAGATATACCCTTCCACGGTGTGGGCAGCCGGGAAGTGATATCAGCCCTCATACCCGTAGCAACACACGAGACCAAGTTGGTCACATTCAAATCCTTCCTACACCTAATACCTCTCTTATCTCCATGACTAACCCTTCTCACGTCTCTTCATCATCTCGCACCGCTAGGGCAAACGATTCGAGTACGCGGGACGCTATTCCTGGTCCACTGAATCCACGCTCTACACTACACGTAGGAGCTTTTAACGTCCGAACACTGTGCCAAATAGGACAACAGGCTTCCTTAGCTTAGACTTTGGGATATCGCGCCATCGATGTGTGCTACGTCTCCGAAACGCGCATAAAGGATCTAAGTAGTGTCATTCATTTGACATCGCCATATATAAACAAAGAACCAACTAGATTCACACTTCGTACATCTGGAAGCCCAGATGCTGCTTCTCGTGGACTAGCAGGCGTAGATATAGCATTGAGTCCTAGGGCGGAATTAGCTCTCTTAGACTGAATCGCAGTAGACAATCGTTTGTTCGCAGTCCGACTAAACGGAACAATATGGACTCGGAAAGATAGGGACACTCGTCGTTGCCTCTTCGTCGACTATGCCTATTCTCCCACTGACTGCAGCTCAGATGATGTAAAAGATGAGTTTTACAGGAAGCTTTCCGATCTACTCCAAAAAGCTAGATGTTCTTATGTAGTAATAGTGGCTGGTGATTTTAATGCTCAAGTAGGCAAACAAAGCGAAAGGGAAAGAAACCTAGGTGGATCATATAGCATCGTGGCTCAAAGAACAGATAATGGCGACCGTCTGTTGCAGCTATACTCAGATAACCGCCTGTTTCCTGCAAATATTAATTTTAAACATAAGGAAAAAATCTTTAACATGACACCCCCCTAGTACGTCACAACGTTGGACTCAAATATATCACATCGCCATCAGCCACCGGTAGAGGGGCTCGATCCTGGCTCTGAACATAATGAAGAGCGGAGTCAGCTTAAGCGCAAGCTGACAAGAAGTCTACGCAATGATTGCGAACAGTGTCGGGTAGCGAAAGCAAGAGAGATGGAAAAGGCAGCGGTAATAGGTAATAGCAGACAATTGCCCAGAATTGTTAAGGAATCCGGTATTAGGAAACCGACTGTTAGCGAAACACTCTCAGAGAAAGATGGACATATCATACATTCTCAATCAAGGAGA